CTATAGATATGTATATGTATGTATATAAAAAGTGTAAGTATGTAAGTTTAATGCAAATTTATTATCATAACAAAATAATATTTTATAATACGTTTATAATATTATTATAATATACATTATAATAATTAGTATTTATGTTCACTTAAAACAAGAAATAAAAAGGTACTTCTCACCAAATTTTTTACTTCGTTTACACCGTTAATAAAAACGATGTCCTTTCAAAAACGGTTTGTTTGAAGCTTCTATCTTTTTTGGAACGAAAGTTATAAGCAAAGGAATTATGGTATATAAAATATTTTCTTAAAACACAGACAGGTTCCGAATTGAAACTATATTTTGAACAAAAATTTTAATTGTTTTCGACCGTCTCCCCGCAATGTTATATAGCTCCTAACTTGTGGCTGAATAGCCCTGTTCATATTTACATATATATAAAGGTATAAGTTTTATATTTTGGTTTCCACAATAATAACAATTACCGTTTGACGTATACATACAAACAAATGTCAATTTAGATCGAAACAACCATTTCAATAGCTTCCATACACAATTCGGAAAACAATTTACTTATTTACAATACGAGTATACCATGATTGATGCTAGTTTGTATACTCAATGCTCGTAAACGAATTTTGCAACGACACAATATGCGTAATTACAATATGCACAATTGTAATTAAAAAAATACTTTTGTCATATTATCCGAAATCGCATGCAAGGGCTACTCTCAAACTTGACACGAACAAATTAAATACCAAAACCACCATTCTAAAACAAAATATTAATAGAATCCTTTTTCACAGCTTATAATTTAGCTATTCAAGAATATGTACGTATATGAGTTTCACAAAGTTGACACCAACAACTGTATTTTTTCTTCGTTCAATAATAAATTATTATATTCTGTTTTAGAAGAAATGTTGTTGCTATTCAAAATATAATTTTCCTCTGTATACCGAATTAAAACAAATTTGAGTAAAATGTTTTCAAATGTATTTGAATGAATTTAATATGAATTTTCACTTAAACCAAACTTAAATCCATAATATAACGTGTAATTTAATAATTAATATCATTAAAGGGAATTTATTGTATCTGAATATTCAAAAAATTTTAAGACTGATTATAAGAATGTTTCATATTTTTTAGAAATTTTATATCATAGTTTGTTAAATTGAGTATATATACTTATGTAATTTATATTTTAATATCAGCCAATTTTTTTTTAGCCTTTAAATTGTAAATGTAAGATTTTTAAGCTAGAGATCCAAGTTATTGAATATAAATTCCAGTTCTTGAAATAGCGTTTTTTCTTTACATGATAATAGCCGTAATTTATTTAAGAAAATTATTCACAATAATATTTTTCCAAAAGTTAAAATTAAATTAAAATTCATTATAATATTATACAATAATTTTAGTAAAATTTTATAGATTTATAAACGCGATAGCATAAATAAAATATTTAATTAAATAATTCAGTTTTACAAATAAACTTTTAGATAAATTTACAAAAGTAGCTATTACATAAATGTATATTCTTATATTCAAAACTCAATTGAATTTCTCACATATTAAATATAATACGAAAGAGCGAAAATATAAAATTCTATACAAACTTAATATAATTATTTTGAGAAAGATTCTATTGTATAAAACTATTATTAAAAATATTCATTTAAAAATTTTAAATAATAATATAAAAAGTAACAAGCAAAAAAAAAATAATTTTTCATATCTTTCATTTTATATAAATACGTATAAAAAGACAAAAGCAAAACTGTTATACCAATTCATATCCTTATTATATATTATATTTGTGAACACACGTATTTGTATATATAAGTACAAAAATCCATATAACATTTAAAAAAAAAGAAAATCAACGTTCTTCTATTTTTCTATTTTTTTTTTTTTTTTTTTATTGTAAAATTTCATTTTCAAATACACATCCTTATCTTCACAAATTAATAGAATGAACAGTTATAATATGATTGTATTTATTTATTACTTTTGGTTTTTACTTGTTACTCTTTACTGATCAAACCACATAGTATATATGTATGTATGGATTTATAATTTTCATAATATCTATACATTTTACATATGATATACAATAAAAAAAAGTGATATGTGATTTCAAAATTTTCAGGATACGGAAACACGTACAAAGAAAAGTTTTTCTTTAACATTTCAAAAAGAATAACTATATAACAGTTTAAAACAAAAAAAAAATAATAATATTTTTTATGTAATAGTAAAAAAAAAATAACAAAACTGAAAGTCATAGCTTGTTGGGTGAAGGAGGCATAGACAATGTAGTGTACTTTACTGGAATAAAGTAGATCATATTTATTTAGCACATTTCATAATTCAATTTCCATTTCTTTTATCTTGAATTAGTAAACATTTGTCTATTACTGTGTAAACTTATAAAGCAAATTATTGAATTCAACTGAGTTTGGACGTTTTTCTATATACTATGAAAATTTAATGAGTTGACTTTAGACTGATTAAAGTCTACCAGATAAACTCCAAGTGCAATAGAATATGTGTAATAAAATTAGGAAAAATTATTGAGAGCAATATTTTTTGTATATTACTCGTATTAAGAAAAAGTACAATTTTATATTCTCAGTATTTTTCTCCCGACAATAAGACTCTGCATACTTCGCAGTTCCAAATTGTTACTGCATAAAATTTCACATCTATATTATTATCTTCAAAAGAAAAAAAATTAACAGAAATAAAAAATAAAAAGGATTCAACACCTGTTGCTGATATCCTTCTCAAGAGAAATCAGTCTTTTCTTCTTTTTTTTTTTCAATTTAACAATAATTTGTATGTATAGGGAATAAAAATATGTACGTTAATTTTATATGTGCATACATGTATTTCTTGTATGCATGCGTTTAGTACTCGGCTTCAATAAAAGAAAAATATAAAATATACTTGCATGAGCAGTATTTTATATATATATAAAAAATACAATTATATGATTTCAAAGTTGTGCGATAATTGAAAAAATTGAAACAAAAGATTTTTCTTATTTTGATGGTAGAAAATTTTATAAAAATACAACATTAATAAAACAAAGAACAAAACTTTTTTTTAATAACACCAAAAATAATGAAAAATAAACTTTTATTCTTTATTTCTTAGCGCATCGAGAAAAAATATAATAACTATGCATAATATTATATTAAACAAATACATGTCTTAATAAATAATTAAAGGGCCCGGTACAAAAATGGAAAAGAAATAATGTGCATATGCCACGTAATACAACGAGCCCCAATAAAATGTAATGAAAATTATAAGCAAAACTATAAGTTTTATTGAGGCATAATATTTGCATTGAAATATAACGGTAAACATATAATCTTAAAATATTTTTAAAAAAAAATCCTTCATATATTCAAAGTATACTCGAAGAATACATGTATGTTAAAAACATATATGTATTTGCAAGACGGATTTTAAGCCGGTTTAGATAAGGCTGATCGTCTGTTTGTACAAATGATACAGTATCCATATATCAATAAATGGTTCATAATGCTAATGATAAGAAATTTCCGTATTACTTTTTAAGCTGTATGATAGCTATTCCAACTAGTGTCTATATCGTACCTAAATTCAATTTGGAATAACCGTCGTACAATGTAAAAGAAAGTCTTGTTGTTAGAAAACAGTACTTTTGGTACCTGTATACATAGTTATGTATAATGTAATTCGATTTCCTCACTGTAATATAATATTTTCGTAACAGGGTAATTATTAAAGTAACAGAGTAATTGTGCATAACGTATATTACGTTCATGCAATATGAATATATTATATTCATTGTGTTCAAATACTCTTTTCTTAATATTTTTACAGTACGACTCTATTCACTTTATCCTTTGTCGCCCTTTATGCATGGTTCGACTGAAAATAAGATGATAAACCAGGAGTAAATCTATATACGATATTTATATCTATATACGATATTATTTTAATCTATGAGGTTACAAGATTTGTAAAATCTTTCTTGTTTTTTGCTTTATGTTCCCTTTTTTAAACAGTCTGATTAAAGTTTTTTCATAACATCGAAAATCTTGCAAGAATTTCCACAAAAAAAACTTATTTTCACCATTTTTAGATTTAAACACATAAGTTTTATTAAAGTTTCCACATAACTAAGTAAATACACGTTTAATTACATGCAAATAAATTGCACGCAAACTATGCCCTCGTTATAGTGTTTGGTCAACAAGTGTTCAATTTACTTGCTTACTATTTTACGTTTTTTGTGCTACAACAAGCTTTATAAATAAATTTAGTTGCAGTGTTTATTTACATATGTATCTACATAAGTATATACTTATGTAGATACATATAAATTCGACTTATCCTGAAATATCTGATTTGAAGAGCACTTCCAATATTTGCGGTTATAATTTTTGACTTTTGTCGACATTAAGTTTAACGATACCTTTTTAATTTAAAAAATTTTAAAAAATTTTTTATATTAAATTTGTATCGTATACAAGAATATTATAGTATCGTAAAAATTTTAAAAAAATGTATTATAGACACAAATCATAATGATATTGGTTTGTGATTATGATAATTATTAAGTCGTATTTGTCAAGGACACAATCCAAATATGAAGAAAAACAATTATGTATGTACAAATATTTATTTCTAAATAAAAAAATTATTTATTAAAGCAAAAAAATTATTAAAATGAAAACAATATATAAAAGTTAAGCGTAACTTATAGTATTTATATATGTATATACCCTTTCAACTGTTTTAGAATACACTTAGTCTGCTAAATTTAGAGAAACAATTAAAATCCATCTCCATTTTTCATTATTTTTGACATTTAATAAAACGATTAGTCAATTAACATTGTTTCTCAACTGACGGCAGCTCTGAAATACATTAAAGTTGTCAAATTAGGTGCTATCATTACCCATTTGTTTTGTTTAGCTTTAGTATAGCTTGTTTTGAAGAACGCGCCGGCAAAATAATTAGAAATATTTTTTGAAACAGTAGCATTATAATCTTTTATTATTTATTAAAAATACAAAAAAAAATCATAATGGTTGAGCCAAAGACGAGTAATTCGACTACAACAGTAAAAAAAAATTCTGAGCCTGGAATAGCTCCTTCAAGAATAAGAGTAATCAAAAAATACAAAAGTTTAATGAACAATTATACCTACTATAACATTTATTTTTGTAGACCATAATGAAGTCCACAGACGACACAGAGAAAATCAGCACAGAAGGATTACACTTAATGACAAAAGCAACAGTAAGTCTAATAGAAATTAAATTGTGAAAATTTGAGCAAAGTTAGCTTATCTAATCAAAATTTTCATTTTAGGAAATGTTTATACAATATTTAGCCAAAAATTCTATTAAAACCAACACAACTCTTAAATATGAGCATTTATCACAACTGGTCAATGAACAAGAAAATTTAGAATTTTTATTGCAAATTATTCCACAAAAAATTACTGTAAAAGAATTTAATGAAATTGTTAATAGAAACGACAAAGATAGTGAAGAATCCTCTTCCGAATCATCATCAGAAGAAGAAGAAAATCAAGCTAAAAAAGCAGTTAAAAAATAGTATTAATAATTCGTCTAGGATTTAATAAAATATTTAATACTTTCTTATAACGAACTTCTTTTCGATAATGCAATTATATTACAATAGTTACCATGAGAAAATTGATAGTACCATATACATACCTACTTATTTGTAGACAAAGGTCATTCCAAAACACGTTTCTTAATTCTTTTTAAGTGGTCTTATGTTCGATTTTGTTTAAGAAAATAAAAGTTTTAAATTGAGGATATTTATCTCACAAAACGATTTTAATCAATGATAATAATATCAAAATTCCTATAGTAAAATTCGCACACAAAAAATAAAACAAAATTTGAGATAAGTTTTCTAAATCTGTTTGGATTTTTTTGGAAGTAGGAAAATAATTCGTTCTTTTAATAACTCGTTTATTTTTTCTTTATTTTCACAATTGTTACATTTTTCTTTCTACTAAATATAGTTTTATAGCAAATTATTAACAAAACAGTAAATGTTAAAAGAGGTGCTAAAACCAATATCGTCAATATATCTAGTAAATAAAAATTATACCAAGGCAAGTCTGCTCCTGCCGACCTTAATTGTGGTGCTCCTTTATACTTTATGACATATTCAATCCAATACATTGCACTTTCCATTGCAGTCCTGGGCCTATCCCGAAATATTTGTGATATTCTTTCAGCATTTTCCCTGTAATAATGATTGTTCAATAGCTCATTTAAAGTTCCTTCAAAATCTTCTCTTGTGAATGTTTTAAATTCTATTGCTTTTCCATAACCATATTTTTCAGCTTTTTTCATATTCATAGACTTAAATTATAAAATTATATTTTATTTTTTATTGCCATAGTCATATAGCATGTTAATAAATTACTTGATCACAATAAATTGGAATTCCCAGCATTGGAACTGCATGATAAATTCCCTCTTGAGTACCCATTAGACCTCCATGTGTAATAAAAATTTTAGTGTTTTTATGAGCTAAAATATCATTTTGTGGCAACCATTTTTTTACGAGTACATTTGGTGGAAGCTTAGGTATCTTATCATCTTCCCACTTCCAAACAACACGTTGTTTCATATTTTTAAAAACATCTAATATAAATTCCAATTTTTCTTTTGGCAAATCAGCGCTTCTGACATTTGTTCCTAAAAATATTTTTAATGTTACGTTGTAATTGTATTCATAATTATGTGATTCTTTTACGATGTACATATATGATCGTCATAAAAATTATAATTATTTTAATTAAAATACACTTACATAGAAGGTACCTACATATATATGTACATATTATATGACAAAATATAAAAAGTTAGAGTTTTGGTTGAAAATTTATAAGAATTTACCTAAGCTGAAGTAAATTGCACCATCCACAGCACCATCTAAAAACTCTTTTATATCTTTTGGAAGAGGTTTTGGTTTTAAAATATGAACACCGCCCACAGGGATCATTGCTGGTACTGCCGGCCTTGGAGTATTTAGAGGTATATAACTATTAAGAAGCATTAATGAAATATTTTTTTCCATTTTTGAAACAGAAGGAATTTCAACTGAAAGAAAATTTAATTTAAAATATGCAAATTTCCAATTTAAGTGCAATGGCGCCCCTGTATTGCGAATATTCAAAATTTCAAGAGTAATTTCATTTTTAATATAGAAATTTGATAATATGTACGCACATACATATCTTCAAAGTTAATTTCTTCAAGTTAATACTGAAAAACAACATAGACTACTTTTAGCAAAAAAGATTTTTATTACATCAAATATTCGTTTTATAGGCCCCCACAATTCTTACTTACTTGGCAAATGTGAGAAATATTTCTTTACAAGTTCGTCTTGTTGTGGAAAATAAATAATTTCTCTAAAATAATCTTCATAAAGGCTGAAAACAGTATTATAAATTCTTTCTATAAATGTCATTTTATCGTCAAGTGGCATAAACGTATGTGGTACAAATGACCATGGTGTAAGTACACCCATCATTTGACTTTGAAAATTTGCATAACCAAATGTGCATGCTGTTATCACAGGTATTTGATACTTAATAGCTAAAGGTAGAAATGCTTCTTGATAAAATTGCTCTGCCAAAAGTAAATCATATTTATTTATTGTATCAGAAGCATTGATTATTTCCTGTACTTTAGGTTGTTTCAAAGCATGATCAGTTGTTGCTACTCCCAATATTTCTAAAATTTTCATATAACCAATTACATCCAGTTCACTTAGATCAAATATTGTTTTAACACCAAAATGCTTTGTTACTACAAAACAAAATTAATCAAATACATATTTTGTAAAAATAGTTTTTAAATAACTTACTGTCAGTCCAGAAATCATAAACTGGTTCTATAAGAATTTCTTTATAATTAGAAAGCTTTTCATTGATAGGAAATGCTGTTATTAAAGTTATCTAAAAATATAAGCATAAAAATATATAAATAAATTATATATTCAGAACGGATTATATGTAAACAATCCCTTCTGAATTACCTCATGACCCCGCCGCGTTAATTCACTTATTATAGCTTTTGTCATCATAAAATGAGATTTTCCAGGGAAAGCAAAAACTGCTAATATTCTAGCTCCTTCACCCAAATTCGCGTATGAAGCTAATATTAATATCACTAGTCCAAACCATAATTTGAGCTTCTATAAATAAATAAAATTATAGAAATTAAGAAAAAAGACAAGTTAAAATTCTTTTTGAATGAATTTCTTTTTTAATAATTAAAATTAATTAAATATCATATTCATTCTATATGAGCTACATACTGTGTGCATGTAATTCAACCCACAACCTTATATTAATCAATAAAACTTATTTTATCGAAAATGCTTGTACATTATTTGGATAGTATTTGAGTTATTTTTTTGATATAAGTTATTAATTAATGATTATTTATTTAAGACAGCACCTAATATATTCACATACATATTTAAATAGAAATATTATGTAAATAGTAAATATATTAAAAATTCATAAGCTTTTATTTTCGGAATTTTTAACTTATTTTTAGCAAGGAATACTCAGCATAATAATAAACTCTTATTGTTCCAATTATATGTTATGTGGTAACAGACTTCAAAAAAATATATTTTTCTAGTGTGTCAGTATATTTTCACAGGTATTAACTGTTTTTAACTGATTTCGAAAATTCTCTAAATATTCCATAGATAAATGATAAGTAATCGAAAATAAAATCATATCAAATTACATATATAGCACGCTTAGAGTTTTGGTGAACCAAAAAAAATTCAATTAGTGTTTAATATAGTACATACAAATAGTGAAAATGTACTTAAATATGTAATTTATAAAGATCTAGGAAAATCTCCAAATATTTCTCTAAAAAGCAAAAAAAAAAATAAAACACTTATAATATCCGGATTAAGGGATTGTTCCCTGACAATATTCAGTTTTTTAATAATCAGTTTAAGGGCTAAGCTTTAAATATGAAATAATAAATTTTTATTCAAATTGTAAAATTAAAGAAATCTGCCATGTAAACTGTATTCTATTTTACCTATACAAATTGTTAAGTACAATTACGATTATATTATTTAATAACATATTGAATTTAATTTCAATGCAGTAACAGTCTCTTTGATAAGAGTACAATAATATAGCAACAGTACGTTAACACAATTTCCTGAAAATGCTTATCATACTTTTTAATATTATAGAACGGATAATATAAAACTAATGCTTGAGACGCACGTGTATAATTTATATCACTGTATAAATATTTTAAAACACTTCTACACTTTAATATTAGAACTTTTAAAATTTCAATTAGATCTGAAATTTGAAATTATAGTTCACTTTATTGGTTTATTATTATAAATACCGCAACTTTGTTTAACGAAAAAAGTATAAATAACACAATTGATTACAGAAATTCTTAATTTTTTTTCTTGTTTTATAACAATTTATAATTTCAAGATTGTTTTTTATAACTTAAATCACAACATCTAGTGGGCCAAAATTGAATTTTCTAATCAACAAATTCAATTATTCGTATTTCCTTAAACTATTTTTTGAATTACTTGAATTAAGTTTAAAATTTTTAAAAATAGCTTTATCACTATATATTCGTTATATAAAATTAATAATCTTCTTTATTTAATTTTGTAAAATATTTAACAATTTTCTAACAATTGCAAAATCAATTAAATTCAATTAAATTTAATTTACCATTTTATCACTATATTTTCCTTTGAATAGAAAGAAAAACTATTTAAATATACGTATATAAAATAAATAAATAATTAACTATCTCTATATTATACGCTCATCTATACATTCACCGGTGCTATTAGAATAAAATAAAGTTCTAAACTATTTTAATATTCTCAATTAGAAGCTAATATATATAGGATTACCTTGCTCAAGGCAAAAAAGAAATTATACATATACACGGGCAAAGCTTTTTAATACTAAGTTCCTATCTACTATCTTAATAATACGTAGTCATCCTAAACAAAAAACGGAATTTGCAAAAATTTATTTAAATTGACAAAAAAAAATAATTTAAATTACATATGTGTATGCAAAATGTTTTTGAGTAATATCACGAACACGATATATTTGAAGATATTTATTTGAGTTCAAGATGCCAACGTTATTGAAACCGAATCTCATATTATGTAATATTTAATTAGATCAGGTAAATTTAGTTAGATGTTGGGCATACCAAATTATTTTTAAATGTTTTTATTTATATCACAACTTCAAAGTTTTAAGTACAATTCTTAATTGTTTAATTATAATTTAAGTTAGTAGGGGCGTGTACATACGATATATATACTTGTCGTATAATATACAAGTATATATAGAAGAGATTTAAATAGTAAACAAGCATAGTGTACTAAGAATATTAATAAGAGTAGAGCTTCAAAAGTTAGATATATTAAAGAACAATCGACATGTGTGTCAAATAATAATAGCATATAGTTTTAGTAATAAGCATGTCGTAACTTTGTAAATTTTTATATTTGAATTTTAAAATATGTAATACTCGTATAAGTGTTAATAGATCAACTATATTTAACGCTAGCATTTTATTTTATTTTATAGCACATTATGTATAGAATATATACATATGTTATTTTTTTTACTATAAATAATTCAGTCATATTGCCTTCAATTTATTAATGGGTGCATCTTAGTTAAAATAAATAAATCGTAGTTGAATAAATTTTAAATATTTTATAAATAAACTATAACGAGTTACCAGCTTAAGTTAAAGAAGAAACTTCTTAAAGATATTGCAATACACTGGCACCTCTTGATTAAGGAATATGAAAATAAATTAAAATAGATAATAAATATCTTCATAGTAATAATTAATTGGTATAGTAAATTATTTTTAGTCAAAATTTTACCAAAAACTGGTTTATTTTCTATTTGATTAATTACACACTTAAGGGTACATATACATAGATAATAAAAAAAAAACAATACATACTATTATTGTTACAATCACGGCATTAAATTTCGAGTTTAAATTATTAAAAACTAGTTCTACAATAATAGTATAGTAACTGCTGGTTCAATATATAAAATTTAAAATTATTAGAATAGTAATTGTTATGATCGAAAATATACGGCCATAAATCAGTTCCTCAAAATATTGTGCTAAAACATAATCGAAGATTAAAATTTATTGTGTAATATGAATTTGAGAATATGATAATTTTGAAATATATAGAATAACAGTTCAAATTAAGCAGGGTTCCTATAGAATCGGATTCGATTTTAAAGAATATATTTTTTCACTATTTAGAACAGTTATATCAAGATTATTAGAGGGTAAAAATATAAGAATTGTTTTAAGTTTGGTTAAAAGCCATTCTTCTATTTTGATTTTATCACTAAAATGGAGTTTTTAATAAGAAATGTGATCACAATAATCATAAATAATAAAAATTTTTATGAAAAATTTATACACCAATATAAAATTTTTAAAAATATTTTAAAAATATACAAGTGGAATATAATCACACTTGAAAATTCGTTTAAAAAACACTAATAATTTGTAATTATTAGTGTATCGAACGCTTCCTTCAAAATAACACTAAAAATTAACATAATGCTTTTGTTTTTTCATCCCAGCGCTGACTGTAGAAAGCGATTGAGAAAATAATCTTAGTAAAATTTCATGCATGAATTACGTCAATAAACTCATATTTTCATATGTATATTATATACAGTATGTCAAATCCGTATTCGTACACCTCGTTTTTTTTTAAGTTCTCTTTAAATTTTGAGTGAAAAATTAAATTATGCTCAAAAAACGCAGTTTTTATAAAATAATATTAAAAATAATTTATTTTAAACAAAACAACAATCAATTCATTTTATTAACAAAAACAAAAATAAAACATAAAAATTTTCGGTGGTGTCAAATTCGTATTCGTACATCATTCAACTTTCATAAATTCGTAATCCTTTCAGTCTCAAACTTTTTTCTAATATTTTGTGGCGTGTCCTTTGCTCTGTACGATTGCTTCAAGACGACGTGGCATTGATTTTACAAGATTTGTAGTCAAACTTGTTGGAATTTTGCGCCATTCAGCTTTTAAAGCTTCTTTTAAGTCTTTTGGGTTTCTAATATTGTAATTTTTGAGCTTTTTTTTGAAAATGGACCACAGGTTCTCCATAGGATTCACGTCAGGGCTCTGTGATGGCGTTTTAAGGTAGCGGGGGCAGTTATACAAAAGCCAAAGTCTGGTATTTAACGCTGTGTGCTTTGGGTCATTATCCTGTTGAAAGATGAACTTCTTTTTCAGACCCATTTTCTTCGCAATTTTTTTTAAATTTTTCTTTAAAATGTTAATATATTTTGTAGAATTCATAATTCCATCAATAAATACTAATTTCCCTACCCCTGCTGCACTGAAACAACCCCATGCCATCACAGAGCCCCCTCCATGTTTGAAAGTTGGTAACATATTTCTTGGATGCAATCTTGTATTTTTTTCTCTCCATATTTTTACCTTTCCATCGGATGTTTTTAAGTTAGATTTACATTCATTAGTAAATATAACCTTCTTACAAAACCCAAATTTCTTTTTTTTATACATTTTTGCAAATGACAAACGCTTTAACCTATTGGTTTTACTAATAAAAGGCTTCCTTAATGCAATTCTACTTGAAAAATTGCGTTTCTTGATTGCATTACGTACTGTTTGTGCACAAACTTTGAGTCCATAGTATTTTCTGAGCATATTAGTTAGGTTCGGTGCACTGATAAACGGATCCTTTCGAATTTCTCAGGTAATAAATCTAATATGGCGCGAACTGAGTAAACATCTTTTTTTATTACGCTTAGATTTTTCAGAAATTCTTTCAGCTTTATATTTTTTATTACGTACTGAATAGTAGAGGGGCTTCTTTTAAAAATTTCTGCTATTTCCCTGTACGAACGTCCTTCATTAAATAAATAAACTATTAATTTTCTATTAGAGTTCGACAACTCACTAGATTTTCGACCCATTTTGGCAGTTACGCATAAAAACTAAATGAATAATACAAACAATTCAGAGAAAGTGAAGCATAAGAGGGAAAAACCTTTTTTTTGTGGAACAATTTTACCGTTTTAACGGATTCGGCCAAAAATTTTAAGTGATAGAAGTGGTTCACATGAAAAACTAAAAGTGTACGAATACGAATTTGACATCACCGAAAATTTTTATATTTTATTTTTGTTTTTGTTAATAAATTAAATTAATTGTTGTTTTGTTTAAAATAAATTATTTTTAATATTATTTTATAAAAACTGCGTTTTTTGAGCATAATTTAATTTTTCACTCAAAATTTAAAGAGAACTTAAAAAAAAACGAGGTGTACGAATACGGATTTGACATACTGTATGTATAATAATGTACTATAATAAAGTTTTTGACTTCTTTAGAGTTTATATAAGGATGTATGTATGTATGCCTGTACGCATGTACTCCAGATTTTAATAAGTAATTAAAATAGTCATAATAATTTCTAAAAATCTATCTATAACAATATTTCTGTTTTTCATTTCAAGGACGTGAGAAAAATTTTAATTATATATGTATGCATATATGGACGAAATTCATTTATATAATTTTAAATACATAAAGTATATTCGAGTACAATTACAAATTATTTATTAAAATTCATGAGTGATTTAAACGTTTCTATTGTGAAAATTACTTTACAATAATTTTGAATTTTTTTTCTTCCAAAACGTTTATCTGCATAATAATGGTATTAGTCATTACGTATGTACTTATCTATCGAAAATTTATAATTTATATTATAAACAGTTTTATTAATAGAAACATCAATTTCAAATTTATTGTATGTACATACACTAGAGTACAAAAAATTTGTCACTCCAAATTTTTGTGCTACATTCAATTATGGTGTATAATTTTTCAATATCTTTACTTTGTAATCGATTTATTTATAATAAAATATTGCACTTTTATATATTTGCTTAATAATTGAAAATATTTTCCTAATTATTAATGAATAACTGTGAGTTTTAATTAAATTAAGAAAGTAATTCGAGCCTAATGTGCTCAATATTTCTTACACAACATTCTTTACAAAGTAAAATAAGTCACACACCTATACTAAATTATTTAAATAAAAATTTGTTTTGAAATATGTACTTTGGGAGCCATACCATTTCTTATTTTGCCGACAAATTTGAAATTTATCAAAAATTAGTTTAAATAATTCATATGGTGAAGTAAGCCATAATAGTCATCTTATTAATCAATATTTGGAGCACCTGTTAATTAAAATTCATAAAAAGAAATTTGCTCAATTTTTATTTAATGCCAGTGTGTATATACGAATCTTTGTACGTTCATAAATTAACTGGAAAGCAAAGATAAGATATGTATCCGCCAATAATTATATGAATTTTTTTTTTCTTTCTATTTTAAAATTAAAAATGTTAGTTTATTTTAAACACCTTTGATATAAGGACCGGCTTTTTTCGGTAAGAAATATAATCCAAACAACTTTTTGTTTAAGTGAACGTTTTTAAGAATTAAGTAATTGAAATTTTAAATATTAATTATAAATAACGTATATGGCTGCATTTAAATGGCCTTAGCAATATTTTCAACTATTAAGTGTGCAAATAAATTAATAAATTCAATAATATAATTTTTCCACTTCTTACTCCTAGATTTATGAACAATCTTTAAAAGGCAGAATTTGTATGTAAATGAAGCCAAAATGCTATATGTGTATGTATATACATATGTATGTACATTTGTTTAATTTCAATAACCGTTTTGTGAATATTTTGTGCTATAACAACACATACATAGGTCACTCTTGTACCTATTTAAATTTCAATTAAAAAAAGAATATCAAAATTTTCTTATTAATAAACATAAATGATATTAATTCTTATTTAATATCTTTTACATGAAATATTGAAAAATTCTTTTTGCGAATTTTTTTAACCCACGTATGTACATATTAATTATTATTGTAACATCAATAAAATTTAAATTGAATAATAACTCCAAAAATAACATTATTGTTATACAAGAAGCGATAAACGATAAACCGTATTAAATGAGTCATTAATGTTAAATACAAAGTTAAATATTTGACATACATGTATATGTACATACACACATCAATCAGAAAATACTTCAAACTGTTACTATATTTTTAGAAGTATAAAGATAAACAATGTTCAAAAAATAAATAAAATCAAATTGACCGGCTTGATAAACAGGTGTATAATTGTTTTTTTTTCATTTTAGTACCTAACGAAAATTTGATCAAATTACATCACTTTTAATATAGTATCAAGTGTTGAAAGTAATAGAAGTTTAAGTAAACATAAATTAATAATCAAATAATGTAAGTATATATGTACATACATAAATACCTACATTAAAATATAAACAAGTGAGCGGTCTAAGTACCCTTTTTTAGCAATCAACTACATTACATATTTTGAAACATTTATTAATCTTTTATTAAAACAAGAAAGAAAATCATTGACAAGTTATAAGTGTAAAATAAATAAAATGAAAGTCAAAAATAATTAAGTAAATTAAATAAATAAAAAATTTGGTTATTATTTACAAAGTAAAAAGTTTTCAGCAATTAAATTACGTCATTTTGAAATTGCTATATTCTGATTGTTTACATTAAAGAAATGTTACCAACACAAAAGACATATGTCAATTTTAAAGGTGTTATACAATATTGTATAACACTGTAATAATACGTTTTTTATATACATATTTCAAATAAGGTGGTTGTCTTAGCTACAAAAATTAAACGGTACTAATAGAATTTTAAATTATAATAAGAATAGTAAGAAAAGCAAATACGTAATATATAGTTGCTTTCAACTTCTCTTAAACTGCTTTAATTTTGAAACTAAAACTACAAGAAGTTAAAAAAATTTTTATTATATCTCTTCTATTACAATGATTATAATAAACAAAATATTGTAAAAATCAGAATTACATTAAAATATATTCGGTCGCAAACTAGTTGGAGGAAATTTATTTTTTTGCCTTTTTTTGCGCTGTTAAATAAGTAATGGCAGTTTTCATCATATAATTTTTAGTCAATAAATAGCCGTTACTTAATTTATGGTTTTGTCAATATAAGAGAATTTATTAATCGATAAATAATTTCGTTTGAATAATTAGAGATCATTGGTAAAATTTATGAAATAAATTTATGTTAAAATTACCTTTTATATAACATATTGTCAAAAATTATATAAAAATTGCATATTTACTTACATATTGTCAAGGAATTTACCTACATATGTATACATATGTTAAATTGTTTATAAAAACTTATACTGGAAATTTACTTTTGGAAAAATAACATATTTGAAATCCTCAGAATATAAGAGAATTCTTTCTGTTTAAGAATATTAAACTTATTTAAAAAAAAAACAGTATAAATTTCTAAATTAATTAATGCTAACAAAATTAGTCTTTGTATAGAAAATTTAATATACACAAGTCATACAAATTATTTTAAGCCCTTATTTATATCGTTCTAATATCATCAGCTTTGAATTAATTTACTTTTTCAATAGCAAAATATTAATTAAATATTATTTTAAATATAAATATACATATATATAAATATATGTGGAACCAGAACAATAACCCTTTAATTAATTTATCTTTGAAATATTTCAAATACATATTTCAAGTCTATTTCAAATATGTTAAATAATTGCATACATTTTTTAATGTACTTATAAAATTCTATATACATATATATATATATATATATATATATATACATATATGAATACATAAACCTCAATTTAAGGTAATTTGAAATGATAACAAAGAGAATTATTGCATTTAGAATTAAAAAATAAAGTTAAGTTTGTTAACATTAATTTATTTACATCAGGAAATTTTATAAATAGTAAAAATAAAATTAAAATTTAAGCAAGTTCTTGATTTGAAAACAAAATTCAAAACAACCACTATGTTTTTGTTATCATAATAAACATCTTGCGTTATTTTAATACATACATATTTATTTACATACTTCCGGATGCTATTATTTTTTTAATGCGTTACGTGTATAAATTTATAATATATAAATCTAATTATCCGTGTGCGTAGAATTCTAAAAAATTTAAGATGACTAATTAAACAGTTTATTCATCAATTATTTTAAAATACTTATTAAAAATCGTAAAACTGTAATGAAAATAACAATTTTTCATAAGAAATTTTGCGGTTTCGAAAAAAATAGAAAAACCCAAATTATACTAAAAACTAGCAAAGTCTAGAACTAAATCAATTATTTAATTATTAGATTAACGTCAAGAATAATTTTTTTAAGAGTAATTATTTCATATTATATTTGAATATTAAATTACCGATAAATTACTTACAAATATATTTGTATACCAGAATTTATCTAATTAAATTTTATTTGCAAATTATGGAAACAGAAAAAACTCGTTATATGAACTTTCTCTTAAGTAATAATGTTTTTATTTAATTGGTCATTAAAAAAATAGGCCAAATAAACACTTTTCTCAATCACCTAAATAATTATGTTTTTAACAGAAAAATAAATAAGATAAAGATTAAATTTTATTATTTATTTTTTTTTTTTGTGAATTAAGTGATAAAATTATTATGTAAAAGTACGAGTATTGGGAATTTTTTCTCAAAATAATTTCTGACCCCAAAAATTCTTTATTTTTTGCAAGAAAATTGTTAAGATAAAAATTTTGATAATTTATCGTAAAAGTTACTTCTGAAAATATTTAAAAAAAATTTAAAAACATATTTTGAAATTCATAGTTGTATAGGAATAAAATCTAATACTTAAATATCTGTAATACTTAAGAAAAATATTCAAAACCTGCGTATGAATGCATTTACTTTAATTATACATATGTACATAATTATAATTACCAAAAACTTGGAATTACTAACCTAATAATAAATAGTTTTAAACTATTCAAATAATATGAAATAATTTGTATAATCATTAAAATTTGGCATATATACTTAAAATTAAAATAATTTAATTTATTTAATAGTAATATATATAAGTATATTACAATAGTTGCCACACAGTGATAACCACACTAAATATATCAAAAGGTCAATTAATAAAATACGACCTTAACATTTTAGAAAGATTGAAATTTCTTCAAATATAACATACATACACACATTTATATATACGTAGGTATTAAATATATATTTATTTTTAAATATATTATAGAATTTATGACTTCACAATCTTATTGCATAATATTTAGTACGAAATTTATTTAAACCTGTTCGCTTTAGTAATTATATACTTTGATGAGTTATAATTACTATTACTTTACAAATAATAGTACATACAGTAAATAAAATATGTATATACTAAACTAAAAACTTTGTATAATAGTATTGCAATCAATAAATTTTTTATTAATTTATTTATTTATTCAGCCTTTGAAATTTACACAAATGTAACGGAAACAATATATTTATTTAATTCGAAAATTTTTCAAATATTAATCTTATGTGGAATATGTGCATTAATCAAAACTTAATGCACATACATATATGTATAAATAGTGTAGAAGTAATAATTGAATTTATGAACAAATTATAACAGAATTGTCCCAAATCGTAGTACATAATCAATATTTCAATATAGTATTGCTTGCATATCGTTTAGATAAAATATGTATGAAAAGTAATTTATGCATAAAGAAACTGTCAATAATTTTAAACGTAACGTTATTGTCGACTAATCATAGAAATGATATTTAACCACTTGTAGTTACCATAGATCTATTGATTTTTAATTGATGACGGGGCAAGAGACCAGACCAATAACTTTAGTTAAAGCATTTTGTTTTTTATATAAAACAAATAATTCTAAAAGTTAGAATATCAATTTTTATGCTCGTTATCTTCTACTAATTCTTCTCTCGTTTCTATTTTTTTTGATCAGGTTAAAAATTAATAAGCTTTTTCTGAATTTCGTTGCTTTTTTTTCTTTTTATTTTAATTTTATTTGTTTTTCAGGCCTTTATTGACTTTTCAATTCTGATCTACGGTACTTTTATTTTTCCACATTATACAATATACCTCTACACATATACATATATATTCCACCCGCTTATCATGAAAATATGTGTATATATGTACATGTGTATAATAAATGACAAAAAAATTAAACTCATCTCAATTATATGGAAAATATTATTGTTTTTATGAATGTACTTGCTTACAAAAATTATAATAGATATGTACGTGCATACGTACATAAATATATCAAAAAAATTATTTTGTGAGTAGGTTTTTTCTTTTGTTTTTTTTTTGTAAACAAAATTACTTTCAGAAATCAGAATTTAGATTGAAAAACAAAAATAAATGTACATATAAATATTTAAGTGTTCACATTGAATATTTCAGTTTTTATAAATCTTTTGGCTGTTACGGTCGTTACCTAAACCATTAACGGATCGTAATTAATCCTTTAAAAGTTAATATTCTAATAATAATTAATTGAATTAAATTTCATTATAAATTATTACTGAAACATAGTTATATTTTAAATAATAATACACAAAAGTGACGTCAAAATGCATTCAAGTGAGTTAAAAAATTTTATAAATAATAGAAATTTATGTATTTATGTATACACATATATGTACATGTATTATATATGTATATAAACATTTAAATACATAAATTACCTTACATGAAATAATTACCTTTGTAAAAGCTGTTAATAAGAATGTTAACAGTAATAAGAATGAAATGATTGTGTAAATATAATCAGAAAAAGTGCAGAAAAGAATAAAAAAACATTTAATTAAAAAATGTGTGATGATAAGTTCTTATCAATTGTAAAAATAAAAGCAATATTATTACATTAATATCGGCAAATTAGAAAAATTTTACATAAATATGGATTGCACCAATATACATACATAAAATTTACATATTTTTCATTCAGTGTTAATATGTGTTCCTATAATAATTTATAAATTTAAATGCATTTTAATTTTAGTAGAACAATTTTAATTAGTCCGTTTTAAATAAAGCATTTAATTTATTAAATTTATCCAAGAATATTGAAATATTCATATGAGTGATGTTTCGGTCCATTACCTACCTATAAATAAAGATATATAATATTTATAATTAAAAATTATTTCGTAATTTTTTAGCAAAGATTATAGAGAAATGAAATTAACGGCTATTTCAAATTACTTAATTTCTAATACTTGTGTATTAATATTTAATTTTTTTACATACATAAACATACATATAAACATGCCACATATACCATGTGCAGGACAAAGATAAAAATATTTTCTTTAATTATAATTTTTATTAATTTTTGTGTGAATCACTTTTTAATTGAAAATAAAAAGCAACTATACATTTTATCACACCTAATTAATATTTACCAGATTATACTTTATAAATATATTTTTGTTACAATGGTATATACATTCATATACATACAACTTGGCAATACTGTTTGTATTTTGACGTACTGCAAAATCCAAAAAACAAACGGTAAAATCTTCAAACCTGTTACGTATTCCATATATCGTTAGCAAATATGTGTTCCTACAATAATTTATAAATTTAATTTTCATTGCAAATGGCCATTATTGAATTTATATGTTAAGCTTAATTTATTATCCCGCTTAATTTTCCCAGTTTACATTCAACAAGTATACTTACATACATATGTACATATAAATAGTACAAAAAATTTGAAAATATGCGACTATGCTCACGTTCTATATACATTATAGAGTACTCACATTATAGTGGTGTACTTATGTGTATGTACACCACTAAGTTCAATTGGAATTTTATTAATAAAAATAAAATTGAAAAAAAAAATTATAAATAGTCAAGTAATCATTTGTATATATCTAAGTAGGTAAACTATTTTTTTTTTTTTAAATTACACAAAATGTCAAAATTAAGCTCATTTAATTAGATTTTATAAAACATGTTCTACAAATCAAGTAAAAATTTATTTCACTCATTTTATTTTTGCATATGTATTAACTTTATTTAACTATGTATATGGATATATGAGTATTACTCATTGTAAACAATTAAAAAAATTAATACTTTTTTTTTGCAATTTTACTGTCACATCAAGAATGTAGTTTTATATATCCGTCCTTCAATAAATTACCTACCTATTAAAAATATAATATACCATCATTTTTTCTTTTTATAGATATAATAAAAGTTTGTGCAGCTTTTCTCTTTATTATTAATATGGCAGCAACAGCAAGTTTAGGTTCAACAACAACTGCTGAATCAAGTTCAGGATTTTCAAGAGATTTATATGAAAATATAATTACGCCGGGACAAAAAGATAATGTTGTTTTTTCACCAGCATCAATTCAAACTTGTGTTGCATTAGCATATTTTGGTGCTAAAGGTAATACTGAATCTGAAATTTCATCTGGTTTACATCTTGGTACATCAGATAAGGATGTTGTAGCCAAAAGATTTTCCAATTTATTAACATCTTCGAAAAGCTCTACTCAATTGGCTATTGCCAATAAAATTTATGTTAATAAAGAATTGCATGTAAAAAAAGATTTTAATTCAATTGCAAAAGAAGCATTTCAATCAGAAGCTGAATCTGTGGATTTTACAGAGAATAATAAAGTTGTTCAAAAAATTAATAGCTGGGTTGAAAGTAAAACAAATAATAATATAAAAGATTTACTAAGTTCAGTTGCCCCAGAGACAAGTATGATTTTGGTAAATGCAGTTCATTTGAAAGCTACATGGAAATTCAAATTTAGTTCATATTCAACACATAAATCTGATTTTTGGATAACTCCAGATACATCAGTAAAAGTTGATACCATGTCGAATGCTGATTATGGTTATAAATATGCTCAATGGTCTGATTTAGATGCTACTGCTCTAGGAATGCCGTATTCAGATTCAGATCTTGAAATGGTTATTGTTTTGCCAAATAAAAAAGACGGCCTTGCAGCTTTAGAGAACAAATTAAAGAGCGCTGACATTTTGAATTTGGCAAATCAAATGAAAACTTATGATGTCGATGTTTATTTACCAAAGTTTAAAGTTGAATCAAAATTCAAACTCAACGATGCTTTATCCAAGGTAAAAAAAATATATTTAATTTAAATTTGGCTTAAAAAAATCATTTAAATAATTTTTAATTTAAAAAACAGATGGGTATGGCCACTATGTTCAGTGATAATGCTGATTTTAGTAACTTATTTGAAGAAAAAACTCCAGTTAAAGTATCAGAAGTTGTACATAAAGCTTTTATTAATGTTGATGAGGAAGGAACTGAAGCATCTGCTGCTACATGTAAGTACAACTCCTTACAACTTCTTTATATAAAATTAATTTCAATTTTGATTCTAATTCTAATATTTGTTTATTTAATTTTAGATATGAAAATTGTACCGATGTCATTGAATTTGGATCAAAAACTATTTAAAGCCGATCATCCGTTCCTATATTTCATTAAGAATCAAGAATATATTTACTTTATGGGTCGCGTCGCAAGCTTCTAAACTACATACATACATACATATGTGTATATGCATTTTTGTTAAACGCTAAACATAATTAAATCTGTTCTGTGTTGTAAAACATTTACAAATACTATATATACGTGCATTTTTTATTTATAAATAAAAAATTAATAAAAAACAAAACTAAAATTTTTGAATTTTTGGATTTATATGTGCATATAAAAATTAAGAGATCTACTATGTAGTAATGTATAATTTTTCATATATATAAGTACTAAATATGTTTTAGAAATATAATCAGTATAGCGAACATCATACTAATCAACAAACCTAAGATTTCTCCAAACACAAGATGATTAATAAACATGATGTCAACAACCGTCCTCCGTACTTCTAATAACAGGAAATCAATCAAAATAGCACCTATTTGGATATAAAATATGAAGACCTATTTGGATTTTGCACAAGCATATTCTAAGCTCTGTTTCGCAAATAATACATACAAAAAACGAAAATTTCGTAGCATACGGAAAAGAACTGAAGACATGACATTTGCCAAGTTTGTATTGTGTTTATATATTAAGTTTGTATAGCATTGACTTCGAAACAGCAATTCAAAACTGTCCAAATAACTCTTTAACGCCACCCATTCCTCTCACGACTCTCATAAATTTAAACTCATCAGCAAAACTATATAATATTCAAATAAGAGTAAAAAGTGTCATTAGCCACTACACGATAAATATGAATATGCGTATGACAAGCTGTATATAGTTTACGCAACCAATAAAATTTTATTTCACAGAACTAGCTATACCTTAACATAAAACTATAGTTTTGGTAAAACATAACTAAAGCCTTAATATAAAAAATTAATAAATTTAAACAAGTAAAGTCCTTTTATACTTAACAACAAATTTAAAAGCAACACAAACATTTTATTCGCCGTTTTTACTACATCTTTTGCGAAATTATGTAGGCTGAATACTTTTTAGCCTACATTAAAAAAATCTATTTAAAATCGAAAAAGTTAATAAAGAGAAGGATTAATTACCCTGTACAATATTAATGAATTATTAATTGAATTAGCATATACGAATTATTTGAATAAAAGTAAAGAGCCGCTACTTTATGTTATCATTAACCACTTTCTTTTCGAAACTGAGAAAAGCTTTAAAAAAAATTGATTACATAAAAAAAAATTTTTTATTATCATTTTAATGTTTGCATAAGCTTTTTATAAGTTTATTTAATTAAAGTAAGTTCACTATCTCAAATTTTTTTTTATCGTATCTACTTTGAAATGGTTCAAATTTAAAATGATCATCATATAGTTCAGTTCGTTAAAAGAATAGGTAGCGACTTAACCTATCGGCGAAATTATTAACAGAATTGTTAAATAACTATAATATAAATATTATTGATTTTTATAATAATGTAAAACTTATTACATAAAAAAAATTAATTAATTAAATTATTATAAAGAATAATAAATAAATAAAATTTAAAATGGTAACTATGTACATATATGAATATACATATATAAAATTATATAACTACATATTTCAATATAAAATTATTAGATATTTTGTGAAGGCAAAAAAATATGAAACAATTTTTTATAAATTAATTATATAGTAAGAAAAGTAATTTAAAAAGTATAACCTATAACCTTTTTAGCCTACACTATGAATTTATTTGCGATGCTTTGTCATCCTTTAGAATACATACATATATATGTATATATATAGAACCAAATCTATTATATTATATTTATGACAAATTAACAAAAAGTTCTCATACATGAAACGAAATACCGAAATAAATTCAATTAATTTGAATTCAACATAAATACATAAAAGCGTAATAAATAAAAAATAGTTTGAAATACTAAGAGTGTTATACAAATAATATTATTTATTGTGTACTCTAATATTATATAATGAAAATAATAAAAATAAAATAATTTTTTTTTTAATTTTCTATATAAAAGTATTTGAAGCTGCCTTATTAATTTTTCTATGAAAACGTAACATAAAATAATTACAGATTAATTATTTGAAAAAGAAATTAAGTAAGATTTTAATTATTGGATTTCGTCAATTAAGAATTAAAATATTAAATGATTAAAATTGAAATCTGGCAATAATTATTTAATTATTTCTTAACAGTAAATAATTGACATAGAACAAAGAATAAGAATGTATTTAAATTTTAGTAGTATTAAAAAATTTCTTTTTAATTAAAAAATTATATTTATAGTGAAATTAATAATAAAATATGTACTATGTAAAAATAATCCGGATTCCATTCAGTTTTTCATGAAAATTTCTTTCAAGTTAAAACAGATACATAACATGCATTGTACATACATACATATGTAAATATATAGAAAAATTTGACTTTACCGGTTATGCAATATTTGTGACTAAATTTTTGTCACATTAAATAACTTATTTGAAATCTAACTTATCTTATGCTTTCTTTAATTAAAAATCATTAGATTTACATTATATACATTAAGATAAATATTAAATTGTAAGATAATTATTGCATTAATATAAATATTGTAAAGCAGAGCTTTTCATAATTAAACAGAGATTTAGAACTATATTTTTCTAATATCAAAGTATCGATATTGTACCTTATTTCTATGTGACATATAATTAAAATATTTATTTCATGGATCATAATACTAAAATTACAATAGCACATACAAACTATTTCTTCAAGTATTGTTATACCTATATCGGCACCTTATCAGATACTTCAAATTTGTATATAAATGTATAGATACTTCATATTTAATATATATGTATATAGTATATGTATGTACAAATAGTGCACTATAAATATTTAATATATACAACTAATAAAATTTTTAGAATTAAAATCAATTATTTTCAACAATACTTTAAATTTCAGCTGGTGATAAATACATACGAAAAAAAAGATCTCTTATAAACTTGTAATTAAAAAAAAAATTATAATACTGTTAAGGTAAAGGTAAATCAAACCAATGGCTTGTAAAGAAGCACCTTATCATTGAACAAATGAAAATCTTTTTAAAACATTCTATACACTCTACGATATTATTTGAATTACCTTTATTCACTTATATTTATTGCATACATTTCGGATGAGTGAAAAAAAAATCAATAACATTAGTAATGGTAACATAACTCGATATTCAAGTAGGTTAATACATAAATTCGTTGATGCCATGGCATTTGCACTTTTATAAAAATTTTTAAAAACTTATAGTTTCGGAAATATAAAGCGCAGAATATTCAAATTTTACGAATTTCGAGAGGCGATAACTTGAAGATAAAAAAATTTTCTTTCTCAAACGATGTTAAAGTTTTGTAAACAGGTACACGGACAGACGGACAGGGTGAAACTAATAAACACCTTTTTCAATTTTTTTTTGGAAAAGTGCTAAAAATTACGTTGAAAATAAGTTAAATACTCAAAAATTAGTAAACATAAAAAAAATTAACATTTTATCTACAAAACAAACTGCTTTAATAAAATTCGTATATTGTTATCTTCATATCTTTTGAAAATGATTGTCGTTATGTATTATGTTTATGTCTTAATGTTATCAGGTAGGTGTTTAAACTACCCGAATAACCTAAATAATTGATCGCGAATAAATTTTACTAACAGCGTTCTAATACATTTTATGATTCCATTAATTTTTCCATAAAAATTATTGATGAGCAAACTATAGCTGTATGTTTAATTAAAATTAACATAATTTCATAAATATAGCTTTACTGAATTAAAATTATAAGATAGAAAATGAAACACATTAAGGACAATCTTAATGTTTAGAATTGGAGTACACTTGATAAATAATTATCAGTTATTATATAATATACATATATAATTTATGTGCCGCACGTTTATGATATTTACTCTTATTACTCTTTATAAAAACTGATAGAAACAATTGGCATATTAAATTAATGCAGACGTTTGTTTCACACGCATATTACAGAAACGAAATCATAGAAAATTTTAATTTTTAGAACTTAAAATATTGGCAAGAGATCTAATAATATTATTATAAAATTTTTATTTTTCAAGAATATGAAATTCAAATGTATTTTTAATTTTCAGATTATAGGTCTAAAGATTTATTTTTTGTTACTAATCGCTGTTGTAGCTCAATATGTTGAGAGCGCAAATATTTTAGCAGTTTTTGTTTTCCCAGCCAAATCTCATTTCATGATGACAAAAGTTTTAGTTAAAGAATTGGTAAAAAGAGGACACAAGGTGTGTATAATACGAGTACCTATAATGTGAAATAAAAAAATTCATAAAAATTTTTATTGAAAAATTTTAGGTTACTTTTGTAACGAGTTACTCCATACCAGAAGTAAAAGTTCATAAAGAAATTTTACTAGATCCACCATACAATTTTGGCCCAGATAGTAAGTATTCTTAATAAATGTCTAAGAGTAATCATGTACAATATGTAGTTTGGCAATATAATAAACAAAATAATATACATCCTTCATTTTATATATGTATACTTATATATTTACATGTATATTATATATGTATGTATATTAAATATGTATTTTAAAAATATGAAAATTGCAGAATTCCATTCAAAATCACATTAATCACCATATTTGAACATAAATTTCTTTTTTAAGTTTTAGAAACATTTAACGCTCAAAGTCTTTTTGACCTTACAAGTTTACGTACGATTGATTTTGCTAAAATGCTTGAAGTAATTGGCACTAAAACTACTGAATATGCTTTACAAAATGTTGAAGTTCAAAATCTTATAAATAATACTGAAACTAAAGGGAAATTCGATTTATTGTTAGTTGAGCAATTTTTCCAAGAAGCATTTTTACCCCTAGCCACTAAATATGAAGTTCCAGTAATAAGTGTAGCTACCTTTGGATATGCAAATTATATAAGTCAAATTATGGGAGTCATAACACCATATTCACATGTACCACATGGTTGGTTATCATATGATGATAAAATGAATTTTTACGAAAGAATAACGAATACAGCACTTTCCGTTTATGATGATTTTTTCAGAGAAGTTATTTATTTTCCACAACAAGATGAACTTGTAAAAAAATATTATTCTCACTTAAAATGTAATACAAAAAAAAAAAAAAACAGAAAAAGCAGTACAAATTTTTAATAATTTTTTATATTATATAATTTTAGTAAATATACCATCCGTATCAAAACTAGAAAAAAATATATCTCTTATATTACTTAATAGTTATATTCCACTAATCAATCCAAGACCAGAAGTACCCGGCATGATTGCAGTTGGAGGTGTACATATTGAAGAACCTAAACCTTTGCCTTCTGATATAAAGAAATTTTTAGATGATGGAGAAAAAGGTGTAATTTACTTTAATTTAGGTAATTTTCAAAATTTTCAATTAAATTTAAAAGTCTTAAAAAACTTGATCTGACCATTGGTGCAGTGGTTATGGCACCGGTCCTTTAACCGAAGGGTCTCGGGTTCAAACCCCGGTCAGGTCACTATAAAAATTATATTCAATATTATTATAACTTAATATACAATACTAATAAATATTATACAAGTAATTTTCAAATATTCGTAATATTCCATATTAAAAAAAAAACTAAGAAAAATAAACAGTAAATATTAATAACCTCAAATAATTAATATAAATAAAACTACGGCAGATTAGTCACCTACCTAGTTAAACTCTATGACGCTATGAAACTAGTGCATGAGAAATCATGCACTAGCCCTATGCTCCTTCTAGGAGTGAATAAGGAAAAAAATAAAAAACCATTTGAATTAACCCAAATATAAATTAAAAGAGGCCTACTAATGGAAAAATATAATATTATATTGTTTTTGAGTCATTAACGTTAAGAAAACAAAATTGAAAATAAAACTAGCTTCAAAAAGCATTATTGCAACGACTTTCAATTTTGGTTGTCATTTAAAGTACTTTTTTGAAGGAAAATAAATAAAATTGAGCTTACAGTTTTGAGCACAATAAAAATATCCAATTAAAGCCTGTATTCGTATAGTAAATAATTTTTTTTAAAGGAACTAATGTTCGTAGTGCTGATTTGCCAGCAGAAAAACTGGAAATGTTTCTTCAAATATTTAGAAAATACAAAGATCAAAAAATCCTTTGGAAATGGGAAGATGAAAAAATTCCACAACTTCCAGCAAATGTTATGGTTAAGAAATGGTTACCACAAAATGATATTCTAGCCCACAAAAATATTAAAGTATTCATTACACACGGTGGCTTGATGGGTACTCAAGAAGGTGTTTATCATGGTGTTCCAATGTTAGGAATTCCTGTTTATTGTGATCAAGTAAAAAGAAATACTGCATATTTCGATATGCAAATAGTTCTAGATTTTATTAATAAGTTAAATTTCTTTTTGCAGTATTTAAATATGAGAAAAGCTGTTAAATCAAATTACGCAATAACATTAAATTACCAAACTATGACAAAAAATGATATAGATCAAGCACTTGAACAACTCCTACACAATCCGAGCTACATGGAAAATGTTAAAAAATTCTCAGAAATATTTCGTGACCGGCCAATGAAAGCTTTAGACACTTCAATGTATTGGATAGAATACGTTATTAAATACAAAGGAGCACCGCAATTGCGTTCAGCGGGTGCTGATATGCCTTGGTATCAATTTTATCTTCTCGATGTGATTGGATTTTTCATTATTATCATATTTAGTACGTTATTTAGTATTGTTTTGTTGTGCAAAAAGCTATATAGTAAAAAATCAAATGAAAAGAGTAAAAAAGAAAAAATAACATCAAGTAAATCCAAAAAGAAAAATTAAAACTTTGTGAAAACAAATAAATTTTATTTTTAATATTTTAAAACGTTATAATGTCGTTTTCAATTGTTCAAACTAAAACATGTATACCACATTTTATTAAAAAATTTATTAAAAAATACACATTGTTGTTGGAAAAAAAAAGTTCTCAGAGGTTTTCTAAATTTCAAAATCTTAAACATAAAGAGTATATATATTCGGGGTGGGCCGGTTCTGGTACAAAAGCTCTCGGGGTGTGATTCCTTAGAGTTTTTTAGGAAAAACTTCCATGAGTGACGGGCAAATTTTCATCTCCAAAACTATCCCTAGACATCTGACTTACTAAAATCAATTGTACTTTATGAAGAATGTACCAAGCAAAATTCAAAAAAGTCAAGTTGACGTTAAATGTTTAACCTGGTAAATACCTAGAAAAGACATCCGGTATGGTATAATAATTTTTGCATTCGTTTTCATTGTAAGGGTACAAACTCCTTGCTTGGAATACGGCAGACGCTACATTTAAAAGGGCTTTCGTTTTAAATTCATATAGTTACATACAATTTACATTTTAAAATTACATTTTTATTAAAAAATTGGAAATCGTAGAGCTTGTTTCAGAATAAAAAATTGTAATAATAAATTGACTTAGTAAATTTAACTAAGTCAATTTATTATTACAATCATGTAATATTTTCTGGATTTTTGTTTCTTCTCGCTGAATTCTTCGATTATTTTGAAATTGTTTCCCGTCTTTACTGAATATTTGATTGAGTATTTGTGTCAATTTATTTTTTCAGATTTTGAGAGTATTCCGTATCCTGGCATGTATTTTTTAGGTTTTGCCAACCTTAATTTTTGGCTGCAAGGTAGTCATACATTTGCTGTTGCTCTAAGTATACATATTACTGCGATAAATGATAGCAGGCATGACTTTATCGTAAATTAAATGATACATTGAAACAAATTTTAACGGCAACACTTTATTGAATTGACATGTTGTACATTTTTAATTAAATATTTCAAAATTTTTCGCGGTGTAGAACGAATAAAGTTCAAATTCAAAATTTCAAACAATCTTTTTTTTCCACATTAAAATTTCTTAATTTTTATGTAAAAAGTTAAAATGTCCTCTAACAAATCATTTTCACAATATAGGGATATTGAAACAAGTGATGAATCAGATGAATATGTGGATGCATCTTATAATGGAAACAGTACAGAAAGCGAAACCGAAGTGGATGGCAATTTATCTTTAGAAATCCCACAGACCGATTGTAAGTGTAATAAAGAGCAATTAAATTAAAAAATGTTTTGCACCAGTACAATTACTTCCGTTTTTTTGGGACAAAAACAAAAACACTTCGTAATGTTTTTATAGATACCTACCTACCTATCTACATATGTACATACTTATGTATAATATGTACCTTCATTCTACTATTCTAACTTGTATGTAAATACAATTCTTACAAAATAAAAAAAATTTGTATTTAACAATAAGTTATCAATGCTTTAAATCAAAATTGTTTGAGCTTTTTTTAAGAAACCTCGTAATACACATTTTGGTATTTACCGAATATTTTGGTTTCAAAGCACCATTTGTAAGCTTATTATCAAATGCTTTAAAAATTAATGTAATAGAACATGTACTGTGAAATTTGATACACTAATTTATTTTAGCTGAAGATCTAACGTCAAATGATGAAGACACCTTATCTAAGAAGAAGAGTGGTGTCAGCGGCACAGATTCTAACGATGATGAGATTGAAGAAAGAAAATCTTCACCCCTCACAAAGACAAGTATTCATGGATTTAGAATAATGTAAAGCTTAAACACATATACTTACACAAAATTATTTTAGCTGAAGAATTAATCTCTAGCGATGAAGAAATTTTACCAACCAAAAGAAAAAATGTCAGGAGGGTCGAATCTAGCGACGAAGAGATTGAAGAAAGGAGAGCTATATACTCACCCCGAACAAGAAGAAGTATTCACGGATTTAGAATCAGTAAATCATCGTCAGAAGAAGAAGAAGATGAAAAATTGTCTCCAAACTCATCAGAAATAGAAAATAATTTTCCATCAAGAAATTCATCAGCAGAAGTAGAAGAGAAATTATCTTCGTCAAACTGTTCATCTGAAGCACACGATCAATCTGCTGATAAACAATATTCAAATAAATTGAACACACCAAGTTTTGCAAATTCAACTAGAAATGAAAATACCAAAACACAAGACACGGTAAGTAAATAAAAGAATGATGAATAAAAAAATAGTAGGCCAAAATTTTTAATTAATGTTCTCAGAGGAATCGATTTTAATTCTGACATAATTTGTTTATCTGTACATAGTTTTCATACGGATATAATTTTTTTTTTGTGAGATTTTTGTTTTGACTGTTAATTCACATTCATTATTAATATTGTATATTGCAAAATATGTGCATATATGTATAAATAAAGATAATTCATAAAACTTTATTTCAGGGTGTCAGTGAAATTAGTAAATTTTCTAAAATTTATGATTCCAAAAGCGTTGTTAGTACACCAGCTGATCAAACAAAAGAAGATATATCACTTCATTTCGATTCTTCAATTACAAATAAACTGTCTTCAACAATGTCTGATCCTCAAAAGAACGAAAGAGTGCCAATTTCTCCAAGCAACAATAAAACCGAAAAGTCCATAGAAATAATGGAAAACAAAAATGATGTAATAATATTAGACAGCTCAGAGGAATCAGTTTCTTTGGTTACTTCTACACCAGATGTTTTGTCAGAAGACAAGAAAAAGATTGTACAGCCTAAAATAACGGCTGCACTAAATAACACGCCCACCACTACTCGTTCAAAAACGAGGTTCTCACATCCGCAGTTTGTTTCCAAAGAGTTTTTAAGTCGCGAAATCAGAAAACTAGATGAATTAAGAACAGAACTGAAGACGTGTGAAAAATTATTGAAAGTGAATGTAAATTTACCCGATGGTGGCGCAAAAATGAGAGATCGGATAGAAAAATGTAAAATACAAATTAAAAAACATGCCAATTATGTATCTAATTTAGTTGTTGACCAAGAGGAAATCAATGCCAACAGAAGTGCCGGAATTGATAGAAGTCAAAACGACCCCAGCCGCGACAGCTCCAACAGCAGCCAAAATTCGTTTCGAGCACCCACTTGGGATGAATTGGCAGCTGCAGTTGATTCAATTAAACCGAAATATACAGGTACCCAAGGTTTGGCAACTTTCGCAGCCCAGAAAACAATAACAATTGACCGATTAAAGGTATTCAATCTTACATAATATACACATTCATGTATTCACTTTACGTTTATTTAAAATTGAAATAGTTATATTTTCCAAATAATTGGGAAAAAAGTACTTTCGAGAAAAATGTTCACATATATAGAAAATTAGTTATTTTCTCTATAGTATGTATTAATTTTTTAGGATATTCATGGTTCCTTAGAAACATGTCCAGATGAAAATATTTTAGCTAACAATCCTAAAAAATTAAAAATTGAATTGATGAATCATCAAAAACACGCGCTAGCGTGGATGCAATGGAGAGAAAAACAAAAACCGCGAGGTGGCATACTTGCTGATGATATGGGATTAGGTAAAATTTCTGTTCATATTGTTTAAATCTACTATTGTTGTAGTGTATGTCCCCAATTAGGAAAAACTCTTACAATGATATCGCTAATACTTGCACAGCAAGAGAACCAAAATGAATCAGTTGAAAAAGAAAATGAATCTAGCGATGAAAATGTTGAATCTGAAAAATGGCTAAGTAAAGGACGAAAGGACTGTATGTTTTTTATAATATTAGTAACATTGAAAATAAAAACGTAATCTTTGACTAGATTTCTATGGCGGAACATTAATAGTTTGCCCAGCTAGCTTATTACAGCAGTGGGAGAATGAAATATACAATCGCTGTAAAAAAAATGCTTTATCCGTTGCCGTCCACCATGGCAGTAACCGGGATACTAAAGCTCGAATATTGGCAAAAAATGATGTGGTTATAACAACATATCATATAATTTCAAGAGAATATAAAACGGAAGGTACCATATTTCGTATTAAATGGGAAAGGGTAATCATAGATGAAGCACATATCATACGAAATTATAAAGCACAAATGTCGCTTTCATGTTGTGGATTAAAAGCAAAACGTCGTTGGGCTCTTACTGGAACTCCGGTTCAAAATAAAGAAATGGACTTATATGCTATTATGAAATTTTTAAAATGCTCTCCTTTTGATGATTTAGGGCATTGGAAAAAGTGGATTGACAACAAGAGCGCAGGCGGTCAAGCCCGATTAAATACATTGATGAAGTCTCTATTGCTACGAAGAACAAAACTTCAATTACAGCAAAATGGTATTTTATAACATCGCTTTAAACAAAATGTAACCCAGTTATTTTTTAGATAACAATTTTAACCTTCCGGAAAAAACCACAAAGCTCATTGAAGTTATTTTAGACAAAGATGAAATGAATGTTTACCAGAGAGTGATGATTTATTCCCAAACCTTATTTTCTCAATTTCTTCATCAAAAAACAGAGAGAGAAAACGATTTGAATTATGGAAATACAAATAATGCTCCAACTTTCATGCAAACCAAAGATCCAAACGGAGCATTTTATAAAATGCACAAACAAATGGCAAAATTAGGTGGAAACAACAAAGAAATTAAAACATTTGAAATTTTAGTTCTCTTACTCAGACTACGACAAATATGTTGCCATCCATGTTTAATCGAATCTGTAAGTATTACATGAAATGAATTAAATTTTATTTTAAAGATAGATGCGCATTCTAAACCCCTACTTGCATAATCTGTTACTCAGTTTTTAAATTTACAACTCGCATGTGTTCAAATAAAAATCTGCAATATCTATAAAATCTATACAGTGAATATTTTAAAGAAAAGTCTGAAATATTTTCAACTTTAAATTATATTAAACTATAGAAACCATGTACGATTGAAATTCTCCTTATCTTATTATCCATATAAGTAAGTATTCTAAATTCTTAACGAAAGTGTCAGTTTTATGACTACAATTTCTTTTAAACCATATTATACAATATTGATCTAACTTATACTCATACACAAGTTTCGCGTACTACTTGGGATAGATATACGTACTCTATCGTTATATTTCAACCACTTAGTGTTTCAATATTTTATTTTCTGCAGATGTTAGAAGAAGAAGATATGGATCAAACGGAAAACTTTAAAGAATATGTTAATGTTGATTTATTAAAGCATTTAGAATCTTTGCAAATAAATGATAAAACAGATAATTCTGAATCCACCGAAAATTTCAATGTTTCACACGAGGATTCCATTGTAAAAGCTGCAGCAAGGGTTCTAAAAAAAAGCAATCCAGTTTTTGATAAGTACCGCTCAAGTTCAAAATTAAATAGAGTCTTGGAGCTTTTAGAGGAAATTCTAAATAATAATAGCGATAAAGCAATTGTAGTTTCACAGTGGACAAGTTTGCTGGATCTTTTACGAATTCATTTAAGAAAAAGGGGTTATCACACTGTTTCATTAAATGGCACTGTTCCAGTTAAAAATCGAAATGACATAGTTAACAGTTTCAACGATCAAACAAATAAAATAAGAATTATGTTGTTATCGTTGACAGCAGGAGGAGTTGGCTTAAATTTAGTAGGGGCAAATCATCTCCTACTAATTGATTTACATTGGAATCCTCAGTTAGAAAGTCAAGCCCAAGACCGAATATATAGAGTAGGGCAAAAGAAGCCTGTATATATATATAAATTCATGGTAAAAGATACAATTGAGGAAAGAATAAAAAGATTACAGGACAAAAAGTTAGAAATTGCCAATGGAGTATTAACAGGAGTAGGATCACAAGGCAGTAAATTGACTATGGATGATCTCAAAGGGCTTTTTGGGCTATAACTTGTTATTTTATATCTAGGGCGATTTTTGATTTGTTTTAAATTTAGTAATGCAGGAAAATTTTATAAAGAATCGTAAGCATAATTGTATCTGTGATTAAGCACATAGAAAAATAGCATAACATTTACTAAATAATTCTTTTTGAACACAAATCTGTAACTATATATGTACATATATTTTTTGATGTTGTAATGAATTGGTACGTAATTCTTATTTATAAACCTTTCGAATAGTTAACAAGAACTTCTACATGTAGGTTATCAATCTAAAATTGTAGTTATATACTATATAGCTCAATAAATTTGTATATACACACAAATGAAAGTTCTTAAGTAACTATAAACTATGCTCAATATTCGGCTAATTGTCAAATTTCTTGATAACAAATAAGATAAGAAAATAAAATTACATCAAAAGTACTTCATTGCCTTTCAAATTTTTTTATTATAATTTACAAAAATCTACAAAACATATATCTATAAACGTATGTCTACATTTAAATACATCTATCTTTAAATTTTCAATGTATTTATTATTTAACAAATTTTAAGTAAAACTCTTCAAACATCATTTATTTCTTTTTTTAGTATGCTTAATTTTGTTAAACAAGTATCGCGATATATTCTACGATCTTTTAATTTATTTAAAGGAACCATTTCCTCTAATTGTTTCGCGATATTAATTGCTGTATCACCTTCCATTTTTGGCGTTGGCCCCATTGTTTCACTTACGGCATAAATAGTTTTTGAATAACGTTCAAAATAATTAGTCATTCCTTCCGCATTTAAATGAGCAGTTTCTAATGGACCTAAAAATGCATATCTCATACCTAATCCTTCTGACATGACTTTGTCAATATCACGAACATCTAGCACACCACTCTCAACTAAACGCCAAGCTTCATTCAAAATTGCATACTGTATACGATTTAAGGCGAAACCTTCTATTTCACGAGTCAGGGTAACTGGTTTTTGACCGATTTCTTCCATAATTTCACGTGTTTTAGTTACTACTTCCTTTTTCGTCCAAGGTGCTGGCACTATTTCAACAAGAGGTACATAGTAAGGGGGATTAACTGGGTGAGAAACTACAACATTCTCCTTATGTTTTAAACCGTCACTAAATAAAGATGGTAAAAAGGTACTTGTTGAACTTGATAAAATAGTATATGATTCAACAACTTTATCTAAATCTTGATAAACTTTTTTCTTTAATTCAAGATTTTCTGGTACACATTCCTGGATAAAAACTGCTCCTTTTGCTAGATCACTTAAAGTTGTTGTACCTGTTATGCAACCAAACTGCTGTTTTGCTGATAAATTTCCACGAAGTAAGCCATCCTTTTCCAATTTTTTTAACTGGAATTCTGTTTGTTTCAAAGCGGTTTGTACCTGTTCAGGCAAAATATCGAATATTGTGACTTGATAACCAACAGAAGCAAACAACATTGACCATGACTGACCGATAAGGCCACTTAAAGTATAGAAAAAATTATGCTTTTGAAATAATTATTTTCATACCTAAAAATATGGTTAATATGGTTTTTTATTTCTACATAAGATGATTTTCATTCAAAACAGTGTTCCATTTTTAATTTGTTCCTACCTACTCAACTAGTCTACATTAGTTCTAGAGTAGCATACTTCTTTAAAAGGAACGCATCATATAAAAAATTAAAATACCCATTTAAATTACAAAAACATTAAAAAGATTTTGAAATTTTATCAGTTTAATAACAAAAACTGACAGAAGCAAATAAAATTTAAGTCATTGAAGAGCAAATACAAAGATGCACATGTACCTATGTTATATATAATAATTACAAATAATAAATTATAAATATTATTTACTATATATTATAAATTACATACATACAATGTGTACTGTCACTATCAGAGTAACAATCATCAAAGTTAATCAAGCTATAAAATGCACAAAATTATTACACTAATTTTCATAAGTTTTTCAACAAAACAACTTAAGCTTCGACTGGAATTCATTTTGATTAAATTTTTACAAGTATGACCTTAATTTAATTTATTAATTTGATACCAAGCAATTCACTAATCTAATACACATAAGTACCTATCATATGTATATGTACGTATGTATGTAGGTAATTATTAAATCACTTGCAAAGCTATTATATTAAATGATTATATTAAATGATTTTTTAATCTTAAATTTAAAGCTATTTAGAGAAACAAATATTGGAATTTTATATATGTATGTGAGTATGAAAGTGTGCCGATAACCACTATGTACATACATATGTACTTGTTTGTTTTGGGGTAAGTAAAACATACTTACAAACATACCTACATATCTACTTACTAACATCTGTGTATGTAAACAAGAAAATTTATTAAAATTGATATCAAAGTTGAAGAAAATGAAAATATTTTGGTGGATATCTACTCCTAAATGTATGTTCACCCTACTTACATAAAGTATGCACAAATTATACATTGAAATATTTTTACTGTTATTATTTAAATACCTGCCAACAATACCAATTTTTTCAGTTTTCATATTTTGTCGAAAATTAAAATATATCGCACAAAAAATATCTTACAAACCAAATGCTTTGAAAGCAGAATAAGAACTGAAAATCATGCGAAAATAAAAATAATAAATTTTACTCTAAAATTTCATACACGTTTAATAATTATAACATACAAATGCATAGGCATATGATTCTATATAATAGCAGTAGCTAATTGGCTAAACTACAGTTCGCGAGCCATCTATGGCTCTTTATCACTTGCAATTTGGCTTTTGGAAAGGCTTGTAAATTTAATCTAAATCTAATAAAAGTATTAGTAACTTTTGAATAGATTCTGAGCAAATACATACATATATGATTGAAAAAGCTCTGTTAGGCTTTCAAATAAAAAATATTCAATATCAGTGATGAAGCCCTACATATGTAGTAAAAGCTTCCGCGGTGTGAAAAATTCTTTCAGGATCTATTCTATCTTCCTATATACAAGTATGAAATATTTATTACCATTTTTTGACCTATGATATGTTATACCATACCAGTGTTCAAATTCAGGTCTATATTTCTGCCGTGTTCAAATGTATACATTTGCAAACACAATAAAAGCAATTTGTTTATATTACATATTTTTGGCATACGCTTTTATTGATTATATTGAACTATTTTTCTGGTATGTAGTTTCTAGCCTTCTTCTGTTTCTTAAATCCGAATAATTTTGAAACTATAACTATGTAGGTAATTAGGTACAGAAGTACATAAAAATGTTTGCCTTTAATTAGATTTTGAAATAATAAAAATATATTTTTGTTCGCCAATTTCACGCATTCTAATGTAAATTGAGTAACTCGTTTCTATAATAATTTTTATTTATTCAAATAGTTTAATTTAGAGCATAGCAAGATTCTATGTATAAATAAACGAAAAAAATAACAACTTAACTCCAAAAAAAACTGGAAATTGTGTTAACTTGTAAACATTTTAGCTTTCAATTATTTAAAACATAGCTGGAAATTGGTATGCAGTAATTGGTTTTTATCAGAAAAAGATTATATGAAGAATGAAGAAAAATTATAATATATCAGAGAATTATAGACTTAATACAGAAGTTCTTACTTAATTTCATATAATATTATTCTTACCTATTAGCTATATTGTTTTCAAATATATTACATACTCCTGACTCAACTTTCGAAATTTATCATATCACAAACAAATCATACAATACAGTTCTTTTATTTTTGCCTTCAATGTTTTCTAATGATGCTTGCCATGATTTACTGTGGTTATATGCAGCTTGAAGCTGACTTCAAGCGGATTTCGAACTCATTGGGTCAAGTAAATCCGTCAAAATTATTAGCTTCATTTGAAAATCGACTGTATATACGCGGATTGAAAGATTGAATATGACGGATTAATATATAATGCTTGCCAGCTAGTTTTAAACTCAAGTCGATTTCAAGTAGTATTATTTCAATCTGTGCAGTACATTTGAAGGTTAAAATTTCAAGTCAAGTACTCGATCCACCTGAAAACGAAGTACATATGTAAAAAAAATTTTTTTTTTCATAATGTGACAGATTTGTAGAAAAATCCTCTAAGAATGCCGATCAGCGTTCCCACTTGGATACAATTGTATCCATTTGGATACATTTTTTGCTTTAAATTTAACTTGGATACAAAGATACTCAAATTTGCTAAAATGCCGAAATTGGCTGCATTTCAAAATTTTGCTGAAATATGGATACATTTATTTCTCAAACACTAAATATATGTTACAAAACTGTAAAATGCTGCTAATATTAAAACGCGAAATTGCTTTATCTTTAAAGTGTTATTTGCTGGCCTTTCTAAACAGATTTCCGAGTGTACTAGAAGAAAGTAAGAAATCTGCTTTATTAAATGAGTACTGCCTCTTCCTGTATTCAAATCTAGAACATTTAGACAAGAACGTACCAAAAATATTTTGGTATAAGCTAGTTGTAATAGAAAATGCATTGGCTGTATACATAATTTTTCCGTTTTAATGGTGAATTGTCTTTAGCACATAATTCAACTACTACAGAAGGCATATACGAGTATGCATATGTTTTTTCTGACCTTAACTTTCACATTTAAAATATAATAGAAGTTGTATGTGATTTCTTAAAGAATTTACTATAAATAAAAAAACCAACAATAGGGCGGCTTGGTATAAAAATTCTACTTTATGAAGTTGGATACATTATGGATACATTTTTTTCTTGAAATTGGATACATTTTGTTTTTACCAAGTGGGAACACTGATGCCGATGTCAAATTAAAAGTAAATGTGAATAAGAAAATCACAAACGTCAAATAAAACATTTTGTCAAATTGATTGACATAATTCAAGCTTGAGAAGATTTTTGATTTGTTTATAATTAAAAATTAATAATTTTTTAATTTTAATGTTTCTAATTAAAAGTATTTACGTAAAATAGTATTTAATTATATATTTTCATAAAAAAATGTATTAACATACATAAATGTTTTTCTTTTATTCGACTATTAGAAAAGGAATTTTAAATTAGATTAGAATTTCATTTTCGTATTTAAGAAACTATAATTTTATAAAGCTAAAATAAGCCTGTCCTTTAGCAGGAATTCAAAAAAATGGGTGATTTTATAGATGATTTTATACAAGAATATAAAAGACAACCGAGTCTGTGGCAAACGGGACATCCAGATTTTAAAAATCGTAAGAAGCGCCAAGAAGCGTACATGAAATTAATTGAAGTAGCCAATAAACATAATGAAGCTTATAATATTGAAAGAACAAAGCAGAAAATTAATAACTTAAGATGTGCATTTCGTGTGCAATTGAAAAAATATAATGAAGTTAAGAAAAATTCAAAAGACGGCAAAGAGGAAACTTATTGTCCTAAGAGAAAATATTTTGAAAGTTTAATGTTTCTTTTAAACGAAGAAACTTCTGCTGCAAAGGCAAATGGAGAAAATAAAAAAATGTTTACTAAAGAAACCAACGTTGTTTCCAGGACACGAAATAAAACTTTAAGTAGGAAAAAAATTGATAAAGAATTAGAGGCGATTACTTTAGACTTACAAGATGAGTTAGACCCCGATGAAAACTTCCTCACTCATTCTGTAGAATCAGAGAAGGAAAATAAATTAAAGTCAGATTCTTTTGAAGAAAACGAAGAATCTTTTGTAAGACTGTGAATGTTTAGAATGTATATATTCCTAAAGTTTAATTTTATTTTAGAACTTAGCTCTTATAGAGGATGAAGAAAACTTATCTGTCTGTAACGCAAAAGATATTGACCCAGATGCGTTTGAAAGTATTATAGAAGAAGATGAACCGTCTAATAAAGAATCGCAAACAGATTTTATAAAAGTTACAAAATCATCACCTAAAGTTCCAGTATCAAAATCTACTTCCACAGCCAATCAACCTAATAATATAATAAAATCTAAGACCCCATTGGTAACAAAGCAAAACAAATCGCAATCAACTGAGGACAAAATTGTATTAATTCAATCCAATCCATCAACTTCAACAATTAGTATAACAACAACTTCAGCACCTTCCTCGACAACAGTAGCAACCAGATCTCAATTTCGACAAGCACAAGCGAAACCTATTTCACAAAACAATATTTCTAAACTTGCACAATTATCTCATGTAAACACTAAAAATTCCCGAATAGTTGAAGTTCGTTCCATAAAAACTCTTACCAATAGTAATTTACAGCCGGCTAATTCACCTCAAAAGCCTACGCATCAGCAAACTTCAAACACGAGCTCGCCACAAAAACGTTTATCAACTGGATTGGCAACACCACCTTCTGTTTCGTCTTCCATAACCTTATCGAGTCCTACTTCTAAAGCCAATATTGTTTCTCCTATTATAACACAGAAAGTCGTTACGATTCCAAAAGTTACATCCTCACCGCAACAAATAACTATACGTAGTGCTCAAGCTCAAATACCAGCAAGGACACCTACTATTTCAAGTACAGGAGTAACTTTATCAACACAAAATAATTCAAATGGAATATTTCATAATAATGATGCAATTACATCTCAACACAAAAAAATTAAGTTAGATTTTGATTCATCAAACTTGGAAAAAATCTTAAGTCTTGCATGTTCAAAATTAAAACAAGAAGAGAATGAAGATGATTTTACAGTGTTTGGAAGAATGGTAACATGCAAACTGAAAACAATGGAAACAGGACAGGCTATAATTGCTCAGAAATTAATTACAGACGTTTTATTTGATGGTCAAATGAAATTTCTTCAATTACCCAAAACAAGCTTACAAAAAACTGTCGCATCTAGTTTACCACAAATAATTACTCGTACAACACCAATATCATCATTAAGGCAAACTTTAAATTCTAGCGGACAAACTTTTTTCATTTCCGAAATGGATAGAAACGCTGATACTAATGTGGATTCCAGCACAATTCAATTAAGTACGGGCAATAATAACGTTAGCGCAGATGATTGTTAAAGAAACTGTAAATATTAAGTACAATAAGAAATATTTTAAGCTGTTTTTCTAGTGTGAAAAGAACTTTATGTAAAAGTAAATTTAATTAAAAATAGGATCTAAAACATATAAATAATTTTTCGTCTATTTCAACTATAATTTTAGGGATAATTATTTTGATTACTATAATACGTAATCTCGTATAAATTATGAATTTGAAACCACGTACATTAAAATATTTTTAATATACTGATCGTAGTGTTTTAATTACAAACACTTTTTCTTTTATTTGTTATAAGCATATATATGTAAAATTTTTTTTAAAGATAAACTTGTAAATTATGCATATTAAAAAGTGTTATATTTTATTCCAATTTCCCTTTTAAAATGTTAAATACCAAAATGATTCTTAAATTCATTATTCAATTCTTTTTTGTGATTGATTCCATACAAAAAAGGAATCCCAATTTTTAATAAGTCAGTACTGTACATTTTGTTTTTAATTTAATAGAAATATTTTAATACTCATATAAACATATTATCTATAAAATAATATGTTGATATAAGTATTAAGAATAATAAAAAATTAACACTAAAAAATAAAAATATATAACATTTCATGTAACACAATTTAATGTACCACGTATACATACTTAATTTGTATTTCATAAATGTTATAATACATTAAAAATTCTATTACTAAGAATTGTTGTATAAAAAATAATATTTTGATATTTGTGTTTGTCTTTTATACTCAATTAAAACAAAATATGTTTTTTTTTTTAAATTGTAGAATAAATTATATTTTACGGAAAGCTTTTTGTTTTAATACGTTTTAGAAACTTACCTGTTTAACACTCTGAGAAACAAAATATTTTGTTTGGATCATTAACAATATGTGGTATATGTAGGTATTGCTTAGAATCTTGAAATAAGTATTTTAAGAACAATTTTACTATATCAACGTCAACTATAATCTTAATTGTGCTCTTGAAATATATTCGTAATTGCTCTCAGTAGCGTGTTTTCTTTAATTAAATAAATTTCCTGAAAATTTAAATTAACAATTTTCTGAGAATTTTTTTTAAAGTTTTACATAATTATATAAATACATATGCATTAAATTTTGCAATCATTCTTTCCTAATCTATTAATCCCGTCAATTTGATTCATTTAGTGCAATAAATAAAGTTTGTTTTCTGTATCGGTCCTTCAAATGGAATATTTGAAGGACCGATACATAAAACAAAATGTTCAAAATTTAACGCTTACTGTATTCACGTCACAGGTTATTTGTAAGTTTACTAAACGAAAAAAGGTTACAATTAATTTCTTATAGGATTTTCTTATTCTGAATATCACAAACATCAAACTTTCATAAAAGAAAAATAATAATAATTTTCACATAATAATTTTCTTATCTAAAAGAAATCTCTTATATCTTCCCTGAATTAATTAGCACCCAATTATTTATATTCGCTAATATAACTTTTTACGTAGTTACACTTGCAAAAATAAAAGAGTTTTGAAATTGGAACTGAACTTAGATCATTTTTGTAATCCAATAAACCATCCAAATAACAAAAAATTTTCGTTTTAATAATTTTTTTTGTTATTTTATTTAAATATATTTATTTTACATACTTAATTTCTATCATATTTTTGTATATAATATTTTATATGTAAATTTTATATAATACGTAACATGTATACTTAAAATTTTCATACACATGCACTTATATATAGTAAGTTTTTCAAATATATTGCAATTATTGTATATAGTTATTTAACTTAATTGTTTAATTATTGAATTTGAGAATTATTTTTTTTCTCTTTATACATGTATAATATAATATTATATATTTAAGAAATACATAAATGTTGTATAATTAGAATCATAACAAGAAAATATTGCAATTATTTTGAAAAGATTAATTTTTTTTTTCTTTTTTAATATAGTACAATTATTTTTTAAATATAATTTGAAAGAGAAATTTTTTTAAATTAAATACTTATAAAAGAAGGAAATTTTTTTAATGCTACCTAATCAGTGTGAAAATTCTCTTTATAATTTATTATAATAATTTTTTTTATGTAAGTATGTAATTAAATTTTATAAATTAATATAAAGAATAAAATTGAAACTGTTTGTTTGTTAAAATTTTGAAAAATTAAATATGAAAAAATATCGATGTTCATTTTTCTAATCTTAAATAATATTTTGTTGACGTTTCTATTACATATTTCATAAAATTTATGTGTTGAAATTATTTTTTTTTTTTTGTTTTTTTTTTTAATTTTATTTGAAACATTTACAATATTAACTGGTTTTTTACAACAACTCTTTTATAATACAAACATATTATTTATCTACTTTAAATCAACATCACAAAAATATATTTATTTTATGTAGTTTTAATATTTTTACTTTGGCTTTATTTTAAATATTTATAATTTACAAATTTTTTACAAATCTATTTCTTTTTCCCTTTAATACATTTATAAATATATTCCATTTAATTATAATAATAATATACATAATAAATTGATTTTAAAGTGAATGATTATTAATTCAATGAAAATTAAATTTTTTAAAAATTAATGAACTCGAAAATATTAGAAATTATAAAATAATAATTAATTAATTAATATTTTCAATTAATTGAAACTTGAAATCAAGATAAATCTGATCAATATAATATATTTTTAATAATAACAATATTTTATGGCAGAATACATTTAGAATTTTTACAAAGCAAAAGGAAAATGGTATTTTGTTTACAGTTTTTAAAATTTAACAAAAAATTCAATATAAACTAGGATATGTTTTATACAACAATTAATATTATTAGTTTTAAAAAAAAATCAAAAAATATATATTACAGAAGTTTTAATAACAAGTGCCATATAATTTCAAAAAAAAATCAAAAATAAATTCAAATTATTTGCATTCCCTATCCTTTTTATCTTTTTTCTAAACTATTTAAATAAGAATCGATTTAATATGAAAATTTAATATTAATCAGATATTGAATCAGATAGAAGTTAGTGAATTAAATTAAGAAAAATTGTTAATTGTAAGAATAAATATTATGTATTTCTTGATTCTTAATTAATTTAACCTAAAAATGATAAATTTCTTAATAAAAACAAAATCATAGTCTTTTTTTATATGAAGATTGTATTTTAACGCTTGAATATGAATTTTAATTTTGTATGAAATTAAAAGTAAGATAAATTTTTTATTTTCTTCTTAGAATTTTGCAATTGAAATAATATTCTCGAAATTAATTTTTGCATAATGACTCTCGATAAAATTAGAATATAATCTGATATAAATTCGCTATGGTCTAGTTTTTTTTTCTTTCCAGTTCTTTTTTTTTTTAAGATTTTTCTGCTTTTTTTCTTAACAAAATATATATTTTAAATTTGATAAAGATTACAATTAATGCGTACATGCTTTTTAAATTAATACCCTTATTATGATCGGCGAAACTAATGGCTAGGCGAGTCGAATGGACTAGGCGAATCGAATGACGATTTTAAATTATGATCGACGAATGTTTTCATTCATCAGATCCAAAATTTTGCTACCGCAAGACGTACAGTAAACATACCGAAAATAAGAAGGTTAACATCACATATGTATGAACATTTTTTTTGCTTTTTTACAAAAACAATTGAATTTTTCTATCCTTCTTCAATTGCGGGGTTATTGTCCATTAATTTATTTAAATGCTCGAATTGTTTTTGGTTCGTTTTTTTTCACGCTTAAATTAATATTAAACAATCAATATTTTTTATAATAATTTGTAGAATTTCATGAATTTACTTTACAGATAGTTTAGATTTTTCCATTATATCACCATAAATGCTATAATGTCCAATAAAAAAAAAAAAACACTTATGCATTAATTTGATTTTTCATTCGTCAAGTTTGTCACACAGAATTTTCATTCGACAGATTTGACAGCTCATTCGCCAAAATTTAGGCGAATTCGCTAATCATAATACCAAAATTTCATATTCGCCAAAAATTTCATTCGCTTCACCGATCATAATAAGGGCCTAAATTCGACAACAAATTCTTTATTTATTTTTCTTTTTTCTTTTATTTATAATATATTTATAATTTATTTGCAATTTAAAATTAATTTTACCCAACAATGAATCTGTGTAATACATTATTAGCACATTACAGTAAATATGTTTATAAACATATTTTTATAAATTTATATATATATAATTTGTTTTAAATAATTTTTTGAAAATTTAATTTAATTAAAATACAAAAAAAAACCTGATGCAAGAAAAATACTAAAATGCAATATTAAAAATAAAAACAAAAATGTTCAACAATTTTTAAATGAAGATTTTTTAATTTTATTTTAACAAAAAAAAAAATAAATACAAGGGTATTTTATTTTAAATACACCTAGTGTTCCATAAATTTTTTTATTTTTTTTTTTTTACAAAATTTATTAGTAACTACAACCTTAATTGAATTATAAATTAATTATTGCACTGCGCAACATATTTACATTTATAAATTATATTTTTCTCAAATTATCGTCATAAACATCTTCTGAATCTAAAAGAAAATCAAATGAAATTATAAAATTATAAATGTATAATATTTAAATAATAAAAAAAAATAAGCCATTAAAATTATATCGATTATATTAATTATTAAATAAAGTTCATTAAAATATGTAAACCCCTTCACCAAGCATACTCAAGTCCATTACAATGAAATATTTTCATTATAGACCTTCATTACTTATTTTTATTTTGAATAAGCAAAAAGTATAATAATCAGAATCTTACCCTTTCATCTACATTTAAGAATGAACAGAAAGCAAATATTTATTTATTTTAAATTTAAATCTAACAAAAAAAAAAAAACAGAATCATTTTCAAAAAGCTTGAATACAAGCAGAACATGGACGGAATTTTTTAATATTTTTTTTTTATTTTTTAATGAAAATAATATGTGCACGAAATACAATAACAAAATTTTTATTTAATGAAAGAAAATTTTTTTTATATAAAAATTACTTTATAGAAAATAAATATGCAATTTTGTATTTCTTTTTTAATAATTTTATTAAATAATTTTGAATAAATTTAAAAAAAAATTTCTTATGAACTTCCAAAGTAATAGTGATCCAAATTAACTTGCATATTCGATATTATTGGCGAACAAAACAAATATGAATTAGAATAATGAAAAATTATAAATAATTTTTTTCTAATATCTTATTCATAGAACCAGTTTGCATGTTATTATTTAATTAAATTGCCGTAAATCATTGTATTTAAATGCAACTTTTAATATTGTTTAAAAAAGTTACAACTAAACTATTATTATAACACAATTTTATTTAAGTAATACTTTTTAATATATTTGTAAGTAATTATTGAAATTACTATTAATTAGTTTTATAAATTGTCAAATTGTTACAAATATACAACATATTTCAAGTACATTTACTGATCGAATAACAAAAAAAAAGAAAAAAATCAATAAAACAATTTAATTATATTGTATATTTATTTTGCATATTTGTATTTACTTTATATATTATTAATTATGCTAATCAGTTCTAATTAAAAACAGAGAAAAATAATTAAATACGAGTATAGTACGCAAATAGGTTTCGAATTACAAGACACACTTGTTTTATTTCGTTTAAAACCAAATTATGTAACGTTCCTGTTTTAAATAAATATCTATATTTTACGGTATTAGGATTTTTAATCCAAAATTCGGCATGTTTTAATGAATAAACTTACAGGTTTTGACTTTAGACATAATTATTAATTTTCAAAATTGGGTAACAAAATGATTTTGTTATCTTGCTTTGAAGCTGATACACAGTTGTTTTCGTAAGAAATAATGTTTTTGTTGTGTGATAACATGTAACGTATCGACAATTATTGAAGACTGAAATTCCTTTGTTAATTTTTTTAAAATGGTTTGATTTATTTACACATCTACATGTTATATTTTAAATAAAATTAAGTTTATTTTTTAGTTCAACTACCTAACTATTAAGTTTTTAAAATTTGTAATAAAATGGCATTGTATTTTGCCAAATCCAGCACAATTCACCAAATATTCAAACAATGGATATATCAACAATACAAAATTCGACTGAAAATCTCGGAAAATTTTTAATTATAGTTATAATTGCCATTCCAGGAAAAAGAAGAGTTTTTCCTGGAAGCTCTTAAATGTAGCGTAAAAAAATTGAATTTTTAAAGCTTTACTAAAATAATAGTAAGGTTCGGAGAAAAATATCGTTTTATGTTTATTATTTACATTTTTTTATGATAAAATTATAAAATTGGGCTGCGAATAAGAAAAACTTAATATAAACAAAAAAATATAATCAATTTTAATTTTGAAACAAAAAAATAATTTAAAAGAATGATTCTTGAATTTTAATTTTCGCATTATCCTATATTTACTCATTTTACTATAGAGAAACCAATTCCAAAAAAAATTCTATGTATTAAGGTGAGTATTACAGGACCACTAAACATTCTTTCCTTTTAATTTTCATATGGAACATAGAACTCTTGTAATAATTTTCTATAATTAAAGTTTGATGTCATCACCAGTTCAGAATTGAGTTTAATAAAAAAAGTGTTACAAAATTTTGTTTCAATGAATACATTTTATAACATTAGTTTAAAAATTTTATTATTCACTAAATTAAAATGTTTTGTTTACGTGCTGTGGTTAGAAAAAAAGTAAGTGAAAGTTTTCCATTGAATTTTCATTTTGTGAAAAAATTATAAATTTAAAAATAATACATTAAGAAATTTTCATTTACATAAGAATTAGTGATTTAAGATCAAATATTTAGAGATGATCAATTAGTAAAAAAAGATCGCCTGTTTACTGTAACACTGACATATTCGATTTTTTCAAAATTTGTATATTTGCGAAAATTGTCATATTAAAATTTTGGAATTAAATAAGTTTTTCTTGTTATAGCATTATTTTATAATTTATTGTAATCGCAAATTTTCTAGCTAAAATATTGACATTTTTGCGTTTGTTTTAATTGCTTATTTTTGTTTTATTACAGCGAGTAATGTCACTGTTGCAGCAAATGAGCAATGTGTTAAAATAATAAGTTTAATATTTCATTGTTAACTTCAATTATACGTAGATATGTATATGTATATAATTCTTTTAATAATCGTAGTGCATAAATATACAAAAAATCTTCATTTAAAAATTAAAATTAATACAAGAAGACATTAAATATTTTATTATTATATAATAATGTCGAGTATTTTTTTTTTAAATTTCTTCTGTAAATAAATTAAATTCAAAATTTTATTATTTCATTATGTTATGTGTATATTATGAGATTCATTTTAAAGTTTTCGATTTTTGATTTACATTTTGTAAATTTAGAAATTTTCAAGCAGTCAAATTTAAAACAATAAATTCAATTTTTTATTTAATATATAAAAAAATAAAGTTTTGTTTTTTTTTAATATATATGTAATATTCATAAAATGTATATTGTTTTATAAATTTAATATATATTTTTAGTACATTAACACAAAAAATACTTTCACCAGTCAAAATAAAAAGGAAAATTTATTAAATTTAAAATTAAAATCATTTTGAAAAAACGTGAAAAATAAAATTAATTTTTTTTTTCTTTTCCTTTCTCTTCCATTATTCTAAAGTTTTTAATATTTATGTAGGTATTGAAAAGTCTTACCTTTTTTTTTTGTTAAATAATGTTAAATAATACTTTGTTTTTTATTTTATTTTATACTTCACTTTGTATACGAGGTTTTTGTAAAGATTGTTGTTGTTGCTGTTGTTGTTGCTGTTCGTGATGTTGTAAATCCATTATATTTGCATTAATAATTGCTGTTATTGATGGTCTAATTATTTGTGGTGGCATTGTTAAAGAAACCTCATTACTTGAAATAACTGAATCCGATGCATCACAATAATTGGAATCAATTGAATCATAATTATTTACAACAATTGATCCATCTATTTTAGTATCATTGACGACAAAATTTGTTTTACCATTTGATAAAATTTGCATTGGTATCATATCTGTATTTTTATTTGTTAAATTAATATTTGCTTTTGATGTTTTAATTATATCTGTTGATGAAGTTGTTGTTGTAGTATCATTTAATATTTGATTATGTTTTATTGCTGCAGTAATTTGTGGTGATGATAATGATTTTATTTGATGATCTTGTGTATCATTCACTTGAATTGATGTACGTTTATCACGTCTAGCAGGTACTTTTGGTGGTACTTTTGTTGTAGTAGTTTCATTGATACCGACAATAGTAACAGCACCACTAGTAGCAATATTACTACCAACATTAACATTAGTATTACTGCCAACAATTGTAACAACATTACTACTACCTCCAGCAGATATATCTATACTACCATTTTTCATAACTGATGAAGATATTTTAACATTGCTATCTTTATCTTTTTCCTTATCTTTGTCTTTATCTTTTTCTTTATCCTTATCTTTATCTTTAACTTTTTTAAATCCAGCAATCAATGCTTTTTGAGCTTGAGCCTTAATACCGCCAACACCACCTTCTTTACTTGATCGTATACCAATATTTCGTGTACCAATTTGATTCTTATCACCACCATCCTCTTCAGATATGCTTGTTAATGGAACGGAACCACTAGCATTTTGTTGCTCAATTTGTATAGGAATATCATCTGGAATATATAGGTTATGATTTGTTTTAAGGAGGTGTTAAAATTATATTTTAAGATAACTAAATTTTGGTTAACTGTTTTTGTTGTTGGGTTAATGTTTTAAATTTATCCAACCGCAACCGAAAAATTTAAATTAATTTATATTAATTAAAAAATAAAAATTTTAATTGATGTTATGTTTGAAATTGTTTTAAAGTTCTACAAATTATTAATTGTTAGTTTACATTTAAAAAAAATACTAGATAATAATGAGATTATAATGGAAAATTAATTATTAGTACGCAATATCATTTTTTTTACAAAATTATAAAAAAAAATAAACAAGATTTTAAAATATTTCTGTTTTTGGTTTTTAATACAAATATTTTTATAAAGCTGAAAATTTTTTTTTATGAATGATTTTTCAATTTTGAAAATTCAACTCATATGCAATTGTTACTTAAATAGTATTTATAAATGCGTATACAAAATATAAATCCCAATTCCTACGTGAAGTTACTCACTTCGAATCAGAGAAAACAGCATTCAAAATGATGTCAATGCAAATATATACCGAAACTGAAAAGATACTGAAAAAAAAGGCACCCTAGACAATGTGAAAAAAAGCAATAATTGTTTATAAGTAATTCACTTACATACATACATGCACATATATATACATAATACATATATGCAAGTGAAATATCTATTGCCAATGACTTAAAAATTTTTTTGATTAAATGAATATTTTAAATGAAAGTCAATAGTTAGAAAGTATTACCAGACCATTTATAATATTATTAGTACTAAGTAATACTAGAGCATTTAATACTAACTGACAATATTTATAAATAATACATAATATTTCTATTTATAAGAGTTATAATAAAAAATCAAAACTAAATTTGAAATCAAATAATTTGTTAATAAAATTTTGTCAAAATTCCTAAACTTGTATGAAAAATTTTTATATTTATTGCAAATACACATTTGACTTTTTGTTTTCCACAATTCTTAAATGACAAAAAGAAATGCTTTATTGACAAAAAATTTAAAAGTGTGCAATACAAAGAACAGGAACAAAACTGGGGTGTTTTGAACAAAATTTTATTTTTTCTTTACGAATAACATTGCATCATTTATTTATTTGCAATACAAACCATTATTGTTGTTGTGAATACATAAGTTATATATTTTTAATTCTTATAAGTTATGACATGAAATTGTTACAAATTTTTGCAGTACTACATAGGTTATAAATATCCTAAATAATTAAAAATAATTGAATTAATTGTGAAGGTAATTTTTGCAAACTGCACGTTTTACATAAAAAAATATTAAAATTATAATTTAAATAAGATTCAAATACAGGAATTAAAAATGATGTTAAGTGTAATCGAGATGTCAGAAGGAAAAAAAAAATAATTTCACTAAAAATTAAAAATTATAATGTATTATAATAAAATACACAATTTTATAAATAAAATTAATGATCCCAGGATTACTAAAGTCAAAAAATGAGAGAAAAAATTAGAAGGGAAATATTCTGGTTTCATATTTTTAATAAAGTTTAATTCTTCAAAAATTTTTTAATGATTTTGTTACGATCATTAAATAAAATACAATTAATGTTGAAAAATATTTTGCAAAGCACTAATTTTCAGCAAATCACTAATTTTAAATTATGAAATAATTTTTCACCACAAAAATATATCTACGGAAATTTTTCAAAGCATAATAATCCTATTTTAAATAATAATGAAAATTGACAAGAAACTATCAAATCAGTCTTGTGTCAAAAATCTGTTATGATTATGACAAGAAATTTTTTTTTTTAATTGTTTATTATAAGTTATTATATAATGTTAATGTATAATATTAGGCCTTTTCATAAACGCAGTATATCGCGATTTATAGTAAAAATGGCGCATATTTATATTATGTAAAAAAATATGCAATTTAGTGCAATTAGTAGCGCGTTTAAATCACAACAACTGTTTTGATTTTAATAGAATAGTTAAAAATAATATATTGCATATTTTATCACGTTATGTTTTTGTAGCAGTATTTCGATTAACAGTTGTTATTTTGCAGAATTGCGTTTATGAAAATCTCTATTTTGATTTTATTAAGAATAAAAATTATTTTTACAATTTAAATGATTAAATACCTTTTAAACAATAAATTATAACTAATTTATACTTAGTCTATGGTTATGGTACTTATAATTTAATTTTATTTATTAAGAAATAATCGAATTTTTTAGTATTATATTCTTTTTAAATGATTATTTAAAAAAAATTAAAACTTTTATACAAAACATAGTACAAATTTGAAAAAAAAATGATATTGCATACTGATAACAATTATATAAGGTTATTGTTGTTTTGATATTCAAAAGAGTCTTGAAATGAAACATAATATTTATTTTCTTATTAAAATCATGAAATAAATTTATTAAATATTTTTTCCTTCTTATATATATATAATTACGTATATTCTTCTCTATCATCATATACATATTAATATATACACATGTATACATATATTATGCATATTAGAAGTATATTTTAAGAATAGCATGTATAAATAAATAATATATTAAATAATTTTATTTATATATATATATATATATATTTTTTAACAATTTCTCAATATAAATATTTTTTTTTTAAATTTCAACAAAAAATGAATTAAATAATTTTTTTTTTCTCATTTTAATTCTCTATATTTTTAGCTTACCTATTTTTCTTGCATGCATTCTTTATAATTTTACATTCGTCTAATTCAACGTTTTCAAAATTAAATATTAAATTTAATAATGTATTTTTAGCAAATTTACATAACACAAAATTAAAAATCAAAAATTTTAAATAATTATTTGTTAATAATCAATTTTTTTTTTTATAAAATAAATTAAAGAATATAAATCAAAATTTTTTTTATATATTTTTAAAATTTTTATAAATTTATATCATATTATATAATTTTTTTTCTTTGTTTTTAATAATTTTTATATTAAATGCAAAAAACTTTTTTATAATTATAATAGGTTAAGCGATTATTTAATATAAGTATAGTATTGAAAATTACAAAAAACTTATTATCGTATTTAATAAAATGAAAAAAAAATAAAAATAAATTTATAAACTAATTATAAGCGTTAAAACTAATAACAATAGAAATAATTTAGGATAAAATTGAATAATAGCAATGATGATAATTTATGCATAGACTTTTCTAATATAAATAAACTTTTGTCATTTTTAGGTTCAATTTGAAAAAATTTATAAAAAAAATGGAGATTTACGAGTATGCAGTTCTTACTTAGATCTTAATATAATACAAAATCTTAAAATTATCGAACATGCTGTTCGATAAATTAAAATTATTTTAGCATACTTAATATTCTTAAAGATTTTTAAGATTTAAGTTAGAATTTTAAGTGAATATTGGAATTATCGAAAATCTTCAACGCTAGATTATAAAAAGAAAATAAAAAGTGTGAATAGGTCTGTTGAATCTTAATAAAAATGATATTATATTACAGCAGTTTATTCATGAGAATGCTCCCCACGATATTATAGTTATAACCTATTGTTTCACATTACGAAAGTATAAAAATCAACACTAAGAGAAATTTTTCTAAAAATTGATTTTAATTTAGAAAAATTTATTAAAAAATTAATTTTTTTTTATAAAAATATATTTATAATTATTATATCCATCATTATAATGCTAGAAATATTCATTTAGTTAAATGGATTTGTATTATGCATATATAAATAAACATATGTGTTGTCACAATCAATTTTAATTATATAAAAATAATAATTAAAAAAATTTAAATAATTTGCATCACAATCCACTCTAGAGTCTAAATTATCTTAATATGATTATTTGAAAAAATATTGGAATCTAATTTTATATAGCGAAACTATTAGAAATTTGATTTATTTTAACTGTAACAATTAATTCTAATTATATTTTTAATTTTATAAGTAGTATTAATAGTATAAGTATAGTAATTGTAAAAAATAAAAAATTAATTTATATTTTTTTTTTTTCAAAAATATTTTTTATTTAAATAAATAAAATTGAATAACATAAATATTTGTGCTTTTAATATGAAAAGAAATATAGAATTTCTTTTGCCTTATATAATCTTAATTTATACACAATAAAAACTATCAAGCTATAATTTATATATCATAGAGTAAGTTTCCGTACCTATGGGTAGCTTTACCTGTGGCTATAGTAATATTTCAGAAAAGATTTTAAAAAAATATTTTTCATTTCAGAAAACACTATTCTACTATTATTCGAAACATAATAAATTTTTTACCTTGGAAAAGTAAAATTTTTTATTAAATTTATAAAGTTTGTATGTTGACTGTACCAATAATATTTTTACTTTTAATTAGATATTAATTGCATTATATTTTCCATAACATTTTTTAACCAAAATTTTTTAAATTGTAATTTGAATTTTGATTTTTAAAATTTGATTCAAATCGGACGATAATAAAAATTCGTTTTTTGTCCACTGGTAGTTCGAAACTCACCCTACTTTTTATTTTAAGAGAAAAATTTGAAACATGTTATAATTACTTATTGGAAAAAATTCAATAGAATTAAATTTATATTTTATAAGTATTTTATTTTTGTATTATTATTTGTCATCGCCATAGTTCTTTATTGATATATTTTTTTTCTAACATAATTTTTTCATTTAGTATTTTTTTTTTGTGTATTATCAAGTATAATAGAATTAAATGAATGAATTTGAAAATCAGATGATTTGAAAAAGAAAGAAAATATATAAATGAAATTACTATAATGAAATTTTAAAGCCATACAATAGAGCTATTTATGTAGGCATTCATAAAGCTTTTTGAAATCAACTAAAAACAAAAAAGAACAGCCAAATTCTACATTTTAGCTAAAAATTAATTAAAATGTGATAAAAATAAAATAATTTTATCATTTTTTTTATGTATAAAACTTAAAATAATATTTAC